TTGATGTAATGAAAAAATAAATATTCAAATTGTGTTCACATTATAGAATCTGGTAATTTTGGTTTGATATGTTGGGATCTTTGAAGTTTGAACCCATAAAATTAAACAGAAATATTTATGCTGCTTGATATGCTTGTATAATACACCTACTTAAATCAGGTTAAAAATTTATCTTCAATTGTATTTATTTATAGTGTAATGGATTGTCAGTAATACTAAAATTAATGATCCATTTTCAAATTAAATGGTCTCTCATCTCTGTCAATAACCTGACAGTTTCTTGCCCTGGCTTAATTGATTTTGCAAGCTTCAATAGACAACAATGTGTAGGAAGGTCCTAATATTACATTTACTCCTTCCAATAAGCTTATAGTTGAAATGTCATAGAGCTAGCATTATAACCGAGAACAAATTATAGACATTTAGGAAAATATCTTTTGTATAAATGCTGGGTTTCATACAGAGAGAAAAATTATAAGTAAATATCCATGAATAATGTAGGAATTTGGAACCTGTTGCGTTGATTTTGTTCATATTACAAATTCTAGTTACTACTACTAAGTTGGGTCTCCAAGGGGGCCCAGTTATGTATACATATTCCTAGACATGGTCGGTATACGAGCATAATAAGACTCATAATATTCCTAGATGTGGTCAGTATACGGACATAATAAGACCCATAATATGACACTCAAACTACTTTGACAATAATTTTACAATAATATTAATAGGAGAAATATAGTAGAATTCATTGAAACTGACAAATTCTAAATTCTTTGACAGTAGAGTTGGTGGGTTTAGGGGCCGAAAGGTTGTTTGGAAAATGCATGTGATTTTTGTGTTAAGCAAATTTTCAGTTGCCAAAGTTTTGTTTTCCTGAAATCAAGTAACCAAATAAGCCATGGCAAATCCAGAAAATTGCTAAAGTTATCTTGAATTTAGATATGAACATAAATTACATGTGGTATATATTTGCATGATATTTTGATAGGTAAAGGAAGCTGAGTTTACGTGTCAAGAGACATGTTGACTATAACAACTGACATGTTGTCTGTGTAACTGACATCAATTGTTTATATGGTAGGTATATGATAGACAGTAATCTGACAGTTTTATTGACAAAAAGAAATAAAGATAATAAAATATCATTCAATTAATGTTTTATTGATCAAGACCTGATGTAGAATTTGAACATGACTTGAATCAAGTTTCATCCTCTTGGTCATATTGATTAAATTGCCATTCGTGATCTTATCCATCTACTGCTGGTTTATTTTTAGAGAGTTGCTGTAGTTGATTAAAGTTCTGTGGTCCTTCTCATCAATGATGTTATCTTTCTATGCTTTCTGAACATTTAAAATGATTTAAGATATACAAAATATGTTATTGAGTTTATCTACTATTAATCATGAGAATATGCTGATTTGTCAAATATCTGGCAACCAATTTGTACATTAAAATTTTCACAATTCTGTTATTAATATGATGTTGTATATTGCAAAATACAGCTATTTTTAAAATTCAGCAACTTTCAGGCATGTGTAGGTACATGCATTTGGCAATGCAACAAGAAATAAAAATTCTATAATTCTTGCAGTACTACAAAAACTATATATTTCCCTTGAGGATGTCTATTTTTGTTTGAAAATAATTAGAGATTAATACAACCGGCTCTAAGGTTTTTGGTTCAGTGATCTTCAATGACTTAAGTTTTACAATTTGAAATCTGTAGAATCTTAAAAAGAAGAATGTTAGCCATGAGAGATTAGGTGTATGTATCTATATACAGTGGAATAACTGGTGCTTTCATCTATTATTGTGTCTAATTGTCACCAATTGATAGGATATAAATAAATATTTTTTTAGGAATATATTTTCCGTTCTATTGTAATAGTATTAATGTGTTGGTACATGGGTCACATAGGTAAAATCAGTTTTATATATTGTTTATATAGATGGCAAGATAAATCTTATTTTATCTACAACAAATTTCTAGCATCAATTATAACTATCACCTTTGTATCCCAATTTGAAAAATGATCACGTACAATTCCCTAGTTTTACTCAAGTCTCCCACATACCCACCATTGTCTCATTTATAAAATTTATCATAAGTATCAACCAAGTGTACCACTACACTAGATTTTTACCCCCATTTAAAATTTTTATACGCCTACATTTTCATGTGGACGTATATTGCCGTCGCCCCTGTCCGTCCGTAATTGTTTGTGGACAATCTACAGGTCACAATTCTTATCCGATTTTGACGAAACTTGAAATATGAATGATCTCCAAAAAATCTTGGTTGCCTTTAAGATTATGGCATGTATCGGACCGAAACTTCATGGATTTTGGCCCCTGATTGTACGAAAAATCACGTTTTTAGCTTGTGGACACTATAGAGGTCACAATTTTTATCTGATTTTGTTGAAACTTGAAATGTATTTTTATAACCCAAAGATCTTGGTGCCTGTTGATATTCGCGCATATCGGATCGTCACTTCCTGAATTACGGCCCATGATTGTACAAAAAATCACGTTTTTAGGTTATGGACCCTATAGAGGTCATAATTTTTATCCGATTTAAAAAAACGTTTTAATATATCACCGTTGCACCCTAAGGATGGTTGAGTTCGAATTTCGTGAAAATCGGCCCAAAACTGACAGACAAAATGGCTGCCCCTCGTACTCAAATACCGTAAAAATAAGGTATATGAATGTTGTGGACCCTCTAGAGGTCACAATTTTCTTCTGGTTTTGATGAAACTTGAAATATAAGTTTATAACCCAAAGATCTTTTTTCCTTTCGATATTCGCGCATATCGGATTATAACTTCCTGAATTATGGCCCCTTATTGTATGAAAAATCGCGTTTTTAGCTTGAGGTTCCTCTAGAGGTCACAATTATTATCCGATTAAAAAAATATATATATCACCTTTACACCCTAAGAATGGCTGGGTTCAAATTTCGTGAAAATCAGACCAAAACTGACAGACAAAATGGCCGCCCCTCGTACTTAAATAGGGTAAAAAAATGGTATATCAAGGTTGTGGGCCCTCTAGAGGTGACAATTTTCTTTTGATTTTGATTAAAATTGAAATGTATGTTTATAACCAAAGATCTTGGTTCCTTTCGATATTTGCGCATATCAGATCGTAACTTCCTGAATTATGGCCCGTGATTGTACGAAAAATATCTTTTTGTTTAGCTTGTTCTATATCCATCTCTTGCAAAATTTGGGTGTATCGTGCCTGGCAGCCGCTGGTACTAAAGTATCATCCTATTTTCCCAGTTAATCAGATTAACAACCTAGTCTCCATATTTTTCAAGTATGCCAATTCTTTATAAAAATGTACAACTTCAGTGGTGCTGTATATTTTTAAAAAAATACATACTTGTATAATTATATTATTTACATTGTGACTTTTTAAGATTTGAAGGGAAAACCTTTCTATACCCATGCCAGCATCGTATAGAATGTCATTTTATTGTCATAAAAGAGCCAAATATCTTAAACAAATTTGTCAACTGCATCAAAGAAATGAATTTGAAATTTACTGGTTTTCTTTAGACATTTATTTATCTATACATGCATCAGGTGTTGTGAATGAGTAGGGTACACACTATAGTTAGGTTAACAATGGAAAATGGCTTGGTTTAACCGTCACTGACTGTGTTCTAGGGGTATTTATCTTTGGGGTGGAGGGTTATTGAGAAGATGTCAAATATACTTCCAATACTTGTTTAGTAATATCATCATACCATACTACTAGTCGCCCACCATTGGTTAAAGATACACACAGACAATGTTTGTGGTGAAATTGAAATAGGCCATTTAATATGTTTATACATAAAGTATATGGTCAAAGATTTATTTGACAAATTTATCTCTGCTATAATCCTTTGTATGTGTTGTTCTAGTAGCTTCTGATTTTAAAGAATAAATATTATATGTATTAAAAGTAGGTATATGGTATGCATTTGGTAGGAAAATACAATGCAATGATGAATTTACTCAGTCCTACAAAACTCAGGTTTTGATATTATCCAGGATGTTGAGGGTTATTTGTTAACTGTCATCATATCTCCTAGAAACCACAATTTATTTGATACCATATATCTCTCTTTTGGTTATAAGAATTTCAACTTTGTGAACTTATGCAAAACATTCTTATCTATGGCCATTTTTAATATGATAATGGCTATAAGGAGATCTTTCAGACTGAAACTCAACTCCGGTATATAACCTTTCCAAGTTATTGAAATCCTTCTTAGTTTAAACTTGCCATTTTTTTAAAACTGCTTTACCCAATTGGCTTGTATACTGCATTTCAAAAGAGAGTCAATAATATTTGAAATAAAATCTGAACATATAAACATAAACCTGTCATCTCATTTCCTGTTGTGAATACAGGTATGATAACAAAAACTCGACTCAATTGTTTAAAGAGCATTGACTCATCATCAAAATATGAACATCTTCTCTTCACTACTGAGATGAATAATAAAACTATAATGAAATGTGTATTGTGGTTAAAGTTTGGTTTCACATGATTTGAATTTCATTGAAAGTATAATAACACATTTATAGTAGGGTGTTGCTGGGTTTTATTTAAGGGGACATGCTTGGCTTGTCATTAGCAATAATGAATACCTGTACAATTTCCTGGATTTAAATCCCAAACAGGGTTGAAGTGCCTTGGTTAAAAACTATATGTTATTATCATTCTATTTATTATTTGGTTGGGCTCTCCTTTGGCATCTAAAGACGTATTTAAGAAAAGCATATTCCAGATCTGTCAAGACAGTAAAAGAGTAGCCTACCTTTGACCTTGATTAGCCAATCAAATTTCCAAATAATCAAAGCCATTTTAAATGATTTCTTTATCACTAGATTTGATTTGGTAGATTGAATTAAGGTCAACCAAACACAATCTGTGCATTACTGAACATACTCATAAGTGGAGTGAACAACCAATATTTTTTTTTTACTTTTCAGTTATGTGCACGACATTTATCTTCACGACAAGATGCCCGTCATTACAAAGCAGTATGTCGAGCCTTGGTGGCAGAAGCTCAGGAACTTATCAGTTTTCTTGATAAAATATCCAATGGTCAGCAGGTAGGTTAAATGTCAATCATATAATGATTGGTTTTAAAATATACATTGCATTTATTGCAACTTTAGGAGATAGTATAAACCATGACAGTGTCTTGGTATGCACATTTCCCGTCTGTCGTCCTCAAATTATATTAGGCAGTAATTTAACATCAAATTAATTAATATCCATTTCATTTAATATAGAATAGAAAGACAACATAAACATGTATGTAAAATATCTTAGAATTTGAAGATTGATATGATTTATATATGGTAGAAGAAACGCTTTATGGTTTCTTTTGAAGCAATTTTCAGGTCGTTTGTTTCCAAATGTATAGTCTACTTCTCAAATGTTATTGCCTGACTTGTTTTCAATTCGTCCATAGAGAAAAGAGTTGTTTTGTTGAAAAAATTAGACTGTAATATTAAAAAGAAATATTGTGAAATAATTCATGTGTAGATGTATTTCAGCCATAAAATTACTGCAACTTAGTAATTCTTTATCAAACAAGGATAAACATCTCTTATATTTCTTCCCAACAACCATGCTTGGATGACTTAGCGCTTTGTGCATATCTTTCGTTGCCTGCTATCGTTATTTAAAAAATTTGTCTTTTTTATAAAATTGATGGATTTTTAAAGATACATTATGGGAGATAAGTTAACGAGATGGCAGTTCTCACTATAATAGTTAAAAACTAGATAGTGTAAAGGTAATTTGCTGAAAATTTCAGTCAAATTGATCCACTTTGAGCCGAGAAAGAAGCGGGTGAAATTTTGGCATAGTCTCGGTCATCATTACTAAAATCATTAATATAAACGGCTTAGTCTCGATTATCCGCTTTTATTGATTTAATTATCAACGGCCGTTAGCGGCATATAGGAATCTAATCCAGCCAACATCGAAGGCTAGCCTTGACATCGAGAGTTTATTATGGTCTGGATAAGTTAATTAATGTCTAATTGATAATTTAGATAACATTTTAGGCCTAAAGAAAGACTTGTAATAAGCAGATTTTGCTCTTACATAATGCATGTTTAAGTTTCTGTGTTTTGTATGGTTTGCAAAATTTGTTTGGTTCAGTTCAAACTGAAATGTAGACCAAGGGCTTAATGATAAAAAGATGACTTTATCAATGGAAATTTTATGTGGACATTTAATGCTTTCACACTTAAGCTAACTGACTGTGTTGACTTTTCACACTTTTTTGGTGGTGAATGATTGAATGTTACTCTGGAGAAATTTTTATGATCATGTTTGTATTACAAAATTCATTGGTTTAAAATGAAAATAGAAAGGCGACAATACTAACACACAATTTAATTCCTTTTTCTCTAAAATATTTATCTAAAATGATAAAATCTCTGAACTATATTTCTTTTTGGCAATTATCGATTGTACATAATCCATTGCAAACTTCGATATTGTTAAAGCTGCACCATTAAAGGAATATCAGTCCCAAAATGGTTTAATTGGAAAGTTTTGTGTATGTCTCACAGATTTCATTAACTGCTAAAGACCCCTGCGTGTAAGCAGTTTATTGAAATAAAGATATGCCATGTTAGTCCCAAATTAATCTAATTTGTGGATGCTCTCTTTCTCTCTCTCTTGCTTTCTCTCTCCCTTTGGATTTTTGAAGGTTGTAGGTGATCCCCCCCCCCCCCCCCCCCGCCACACACAATTTAAAAGTCGATTTTGTGTGAAAGTTTAAGACCTCTACGTCAACATTAACGACATCAATAGAATGATAAAACTGTCTTTCTGTTTAATCTTGGTCACTATTGAAGATTCTTTAGATTCTAACACCATGGTTTCAAGAGTAACTTTTGACACTAAAGTAAAGTTTTAACTAGGATAACTTGTCGGATTTTGCTATTAGTTGATGGGTTTGTTGGTGGACACCATAGACCTCTGGGTCAATCATATGCTTAGTGGTCAGTTGCCCTCTGTACATACAACAGTTGACTGCAAAATTCTATAAACTGTTTTTACACACCAAAGTTTACTTCATTTACATCCGTGTACTGAACAATCCTATTTTTTTTTACATTGAAACATTATTTTGGGACTGTTGCAAAAAAAAAAAAAGAAAAAAAAGATCTTTGCAGTTACCATAAAAATTTTCATTGGTAGCTTTTACTGACATTTTATACACAAGCCAGATAATTCGCATATACCTCAAGAGTAAAAAAATATGTATTATTTTTTAAAGACTATTATTCTTATCTGCTTACTCATACATTATGCAAGAACTAAACATTACAAGACCATAATCAACTCTTGGTGCCATCAAGACTTTGTTTATTATCGTTACAACGATAGTAATGACGATCAAGGCTAGCCTAAAATCAAATTGCTAATATCTAGGTTCAGAGTGAAGCAATTTGACTGAAATATTCATCATATTCTCTTTTCATTATCTATTTTTTAACTATTATACCGAGAACTGTCAGCTCTTTATCTAATCTTACCTAATGCCCCTTTAATATGAGTATTAAATAAACCTTGGATATAGCTTGTACAATTTTACTTAATTTATCTAGAAGACATTAATAATTGTATATCTAAGTTGAAATTAAAATTGAATAATTTGTTAAATAGATATTCCCCCCCCCCCCCCCCAAAAAAAAGGTAGGCATGTTAAGGCTTTATATAATCCAACCCGTATGATTACATTGAAAGGTGAAACAGTTTAGCTTGAAGTATTCTCTTGTTGACCTTTTCGCCAAAGACTTAAGTTCTAATTCAAATATTCTGTCAATTGAGGGCAATTCTGATTTAATATCTCAAATGATACCCTTACTGTATTCTAATTAGGTTAAGTGACAATTTACATGAAAGGGCTTTTGTAGGATAATAGATCTAGACCTGAAGTAATCGTATAGTTTCTCAGATAAATATAAGAAAGCATGTTAGTAGGTTCAGTTGTATTTGGCAATGATTATACTACTGTATTTACCTACTAGATTAGTAGAAAAGTATTATGATACTCTATATTAAGTATATCAACACAGGTATTATATGTGTATGTGGAAAAAGGCAAGATAAAATTTGATTGTATATTAGAAAATCACTACAATTAATCTTTTAACTTTAAGCAAAAAATTCCAACAAAACAAAACTCCTTAAAGCCCAAGCATTCAAGAATAAAGTTTAAATATAGTATTTTAATACTATTGTGCAAAAATCACAAAACTCGAACAATTTTAATTCAAGTTATAGCAATTAAAAGTTTACATTAGATTCTATTTTACATTGACATCCTCATCTTTTTTTTAATAGTATTTTTTCATAAAAGCCATTGCGCCCATTTTTCAGGAAGTTTACATTAAAACTAGTTACCTGTTTTAAACTTTTGAGATATATGCGAACATATGCCTTTTTATAGATACATATATGGACATTGATATTTTTTTTTAAACCACACTAATCTGACAGTTATTAATAAGTTCACATTGCATGTTCGTTAAATGAATTAAAATTTCTAAATATTGATTATTTGTTGGTAATTTGTTTCAGAATTTAACCAATCAAGGTGTAGATAATGATACACAAGCTTTAGATGATCTAGAAAGTAGTGACTGGGTAAAATCATTATTTATTTATTTAGCAGTGACAGATCACCTGTTGAATTAAACTTTGATATTTAGAATAATACCCCTGATTAAATTTAAAACATATTGATTCTCTATATGCTCAGAAATTGAGTCTGTTTGAATATTCAAAGATTTTGATTCACCAATATATGTTCATAAATTGACATATTAATTACACTGCATTGATACTTTCGTAAAGATTTACGTAGTACTTACAACAGATCTAATGAGGAGAGGAAAAGAACGTTTGAAAATATAAAAAGAAAACAGTTAGCTGATATAGTATCACATTCAAAATTTCTAGATATTTTTACATGTATTATCTGTTTAAAGTCATCTTTTTTATCTTTCTTCAAGACTACATTATGGGTTCAAATTATGAGACAGTTACGACAAGGTGTCCGATTAAAAAAGGTTGAACATGTTAATTTTACACCTGTAGAATTTGAACTAACACCTTTTGAAATCTTACTTGAAGATATCCGATCTCGAAGATATGCCCTTCATAAAATAATGGTGAGTATAAAGTTTACTACACTACAGCCATGCATTACACACACATGTGATAACTTATATTATTTTACAACACAATGCTTCTATATTATACTTGAATCTAGTAACTTTTGTAGTTTCCAGACAGTATTGTGTGTATAAATAACATCTGGGAGTGTTGTAAAATTGTACTTCCGTATTTGTGCATTTAATATGTTTTTGCTAAATTTTGTGTGATATTTGCAATGCTTTACCTAATATTTGAGAGGCATTAGCGCTTTTAATTTTGATGTGATTTGATTATACAGTTGAATCAAGCATGTTCTAATGAGATTGTGTGCAAAAATTAAAACTAAGCTGCGAAGATATATATGTTTTAACTATCAAATTACGAGTCATAGTGTTTTTTAAATAATTTAGGGAACGTTCATGAAAAAATCTTACTCTTAGTTGTTCAGACTATGGTTATTTTAAAAATAGTACATTATAGTGTATTATTCAAAATTATTTTGCTTGTGAAAGTGATAATTCCTTGATATTCTTTGAAACATTTTGACTTAAATTTTAGATGTTATAATGAATTTTTTTGAAAATTAATATTTATTCAGTTATTGTAATTCTTTGTTTCATCTTTCAACAACTTTAGTTTTGAATTTCCTACACTTTGTTTGCAAAAGAAAGGATAAAGCTCATCAATGTTAAGTTAAGAAAATTTAACGTAAAAAAAAAAAATTCTTCAACAGATATTGTTGTATGTAAGCTTACATATGTCAGTCAAAAAAGCTCTTCTATATTATTGAGAGGGAGGGATGAATGGTGGCTATATAAAAGAAAAACCAATGGCTAAACCTTTGGAAAAGTGCCATCCTGTGTACCTTTAATGGCATGACCTTGCTTGCATTTGACTAATAAATCTATTTCTTGCATGTTTGTTTCCTTTAGGTTAATGGTGAATTACCTCACAAAGTTAAAACTGATGCCCATAATGTGATATTAGACTTCATCCGTTCCAGGCCCCCATTAAAAAAGGTATTATACATTTTAACTGTGAATCCATTAATGTGTTCTTTGTAGAAACAGTCAGTCATTATTTGTTACATTATCTTTCAGATTTTGTAACAAAATCAAAGACATGACCTAAGAATGATTTTAATGGACAATGATTAACATGTTTTTCAAAAAAAATCTTCAAGCTTTGAAAAATTCAGAAAATTCTTCTAACACCATGACTGACATGAAATTCTAAAACACTAGAGAAGCTGTCATTTGGCAGCAGTTTTATTTTGAAATTCCAGTGGATGACATTTGGAATTTTTCTGATCGATGCTAAGATGCAATTATTTCTTGTTGATTGGTTTCCTTATCCTGAACATACACAAAATTGTGTATTCTGCCGAGAAATTTAGAATTTTTTTAGGTGGCCACCCCCCCTTGAAAATCCTGGCACCACCATTGCATTTGGACTTTAAGACCTGTGAAGCATGTAATACAAGCATGTTTTTGTACCTTTGGAGTTAATTGTGTAATGCATTGCATGTTAATGATGTTGCACTACAGATGTGTGACTTAAAAACATAATATGGCATATTTCTGGTAACAAGAAAAACAGGATGGAAATACCAATCAGCAACTTATATAAATGGTTGAGATTATTGCTGTAGACTCTAGAGTTTGTTCTGAAAGTAAATTTAGAAAAAGAGCTATATGTACCCAGTGGCTCGATGTAGTATTTGATGTGAAAAGTTTATGCACGTTTCCAAATATTTAGCCGGATTGAGTTGGTATAAACTTGTGTAATTAGAAAAAGAAACATTGTCAACAAAGATGAGAACAAGAGAGCTAGGTTTGTTATTTTAAATGGATTAAAGGCCAATGTTGTTTCTTAGTTTTGAGATTTGGAATGGCGCTTCTAAACAGAAAATAATGTGTCTGTAAGTTTTAAAAAAGCATACGCCTAATGAGAAATGTAAAGATGAAGTGCGCCATATATTTTACCCTTGTTATTTGTTAATTTTAATCAATAGTCACACACCTCATCTGACATCTGACATGTTTATTTTTAATATTATTGGATGGTGTATTCTGTTAGTAGTCACTTCCCAGTTGAATTTCACTAACTATGTAAGGTAATGATATGAGCTTAGAATGGTTTTATTTATTTCTGAGTACCGTAATTAATTCTGAAATAGACTCTTATAGGAAACTTAATGGCTCCAACTTTTATTAAAAACATCACTGGCAATCTGATCGATTATTCTAATCAATCAATCAATTGTAACTTGATGTACCTGTGCATTAAAAAAAGGAGTTTTGTCACATTAAATTCACTTCTGTACAGAGTAAGAGAAATTGACTTTCTAAATAAGCCAGTATTCAAGTCCTGATGCTGATATATATACATACTGACTAGTATTAGAACAATTTGGTTTGGAAAAGCTGACTAGACCCATGAACCAGTGATATTTTCATCACAGCTATAAATTACACTGGCTTAATTGTGGCATAAGGGTAGTTGAATATTTAGCGATATGTGATCCATAACCATGGGTCTACAAGAAAATTATTCTGTGTTTGTTTCAGTAAAATGTGTCGACAAGTATATTCTAGATTATAAATCAAATGTCAAACTATTAAATTACTTTCCCCTTGTAAGTTTTTACATTTGACTTATAACATATTTTATAAAATCAATTTCTATTCGCCACTTGAAACCTGCAATCAATTCCTTTTTGTACAAGAACAAATTACATGTCATGTAGTGGTTATTGTTCTAGATAAATTGGCAGATAAACTTGGATAAATTCCATGTATGCTTGTATTCAGGAATTCATACAAATTGATGAATTCTGTATTATAGATAATTTTCCACTTATTAATGAGTCGACAGTGACATTTTAGAAAGGACTTATAGTGGTTGTATATATTATAAGTATTGTTTATGACGAGGTGCCATTGGACAGATGTAACACATTAGTAATAGGAGATTCCTATAATACATAACTAAAACTGCTTATACTATTATATAAGTTTGGAGAGGTTGCTATGGATATTATAGACTCCTATTTCTTACTTCCAATTGTATCCTTGACCTTTATGCCATGTTAATGTGGATGAAAGAGCCACGTAGGCGTATTTTATTGCGTCTGTTCTGCTGTACTTGTGTCATGGAGTTTTCTAAATCCAAAAAGAAGGTAGGCAATTTTATTGGCATATGGGATTGACTTTTGATTTACTTGGAGTTAATGTTATAATTTTTTTATTATAATTTATACACCAGTAGATTAAGTGCTTTTCAGGAGTGTACAATTTATAACACACCATATTGTAACCTTTGAGACCCCTCTACAATATGTTATACTGATGAAAATATGCTTGACAATTCGAATTCAAAACGAATTTGCAATTTGATTTATTTTCTATGGACACTGGAAAACTTCAGTCAGTCACTACAAAATATTACAGGATTTTAACCCCCCAAAATTTAATGGGATAAAAACTAAAATTTTAATGAATTTGTATCCTCATTAGTTTTTGCAGTTTAACAAACAAATTAAAGCAAAGTTGTTTTAACAACAAAAGCATCTGTCACAAGTTTCTCCAAGCCAGGTTAAAGTTTCTATTTAAGGTTGCCAAAAAATGTTTCTGGTTTCAAGTTTTGGAAAAAGATTGAAGAGAGTGTTACAAAATGTTTGTTTACAGTCTTAGTGTATACTTTTCTGGATCTTTGTAGACTTTTTAGATGTTTGTCAATATATACATTGTACTTTTTGGTCTTTTTATGTTGTTTGACGATAAACTCTGCTTTTATCTAGGGTATTGGAATGGAATGTAAACCTGAAAGTGTCTGATGTTTTAGAACATTATCATTGATATTCAGAATGTTAAAAACTCAGTAAAAGTGAGAATATGCCATAATTAACGTCAATTGTAGTCTTCTGCAAGACTAAAAAGTATCGAATAACATATTGACTCAAAATTATTTATTCTAACTTTAATCCTTTAGCACTTGGTACATGTAATTATTGACTACCCCAGTTCCTTGAAGAAAATTAGAGAAAACTTATATATTAATACTGGTACAGTTTAGGACTGTCTAAGGAAACCTAGTTTGGGGCAGTCTAAGTACTAAAGGGTTAAGTTAGGAGTTTGCAATGGTTATCACCATAAAATACTGCTGCTATTTTTGGAGGCTGGCATGTTGTTGGCTTTATTATGTATAGGCTACACATATGAACTCATTTAATTTTCTTAATTTTGATATTTATAACTCTTTGCTACCATTGTTGAGTTTCACATTTATCCAACATTTTGTTAATAATATATTTTAGGCTAAAGACAGGAAGTTGAAAACATTACCACCCAATCCTCCAGATCCACATGAATGTTTGTTACAAGATATCCGTTCTCAACCTAAATTACGTTCAGTTAAAGAAGGAAAATTAGTTGGTAAGTATTTTCTAAAACAACTTTTTTTTAATGTCCTGTATTTGACAAACTATAAAAATATATTTAAGAAATACATTAAAAATCAGGTGTAGGTTTAAAGTATATGGCCACACCTCATCCTGTGTCAAAACCAATATATAAAACAGATTGATGAAATGTGCCTTTCCCCTTTTATAGCAAAATATCAAAAGTGATTTTGCTGCTTTTTATCAAAGTAATATTTTTAAAAATTATTCACATTCATATAGATATCCAAATTTATTGATGTGTTCACTGAGTTTTTTAATGGTAAATTTTGAAACAAACATTTTTATTGGTTGATAAACTAAAGGGCAATTTACAACAGTATACCCTCCCACACTGTACTTGCCTCATGTTCTGAGCATTATATGCTAAGAATTGAATCCTAAAGAATCTTTCTTTACTTCAATTACATCAATCTTGGCTATATAATTACGATCTTTGACAGAAGATCGACTGATGAACCGAGGATCGCCCCATCATGCATAGAACTATGGGTGTATGGAATGTGGTTTCAGTTTATACTCTGTATCTCTATAAGCTGACTAATTTGTCTTTTACAGCCAATAAGCCCATAGAAATACTGATACTGTATTATTGAATGAGTCATGCAATATACAACAGCCTCCGCATAATATATTAATTAGATAATTATTTGATTGTGAATAATTTACGATATATAATTTCAGCTATATAGTACTTTATTGTTAGGGTGTGTATTGTGAGTAATAGATTTTAGTGCCACAACTTTGTTGAATGTTAAGGCTCTTATTTTTGTCTTGTTTGAAATTCCTAGCATTAAAATTAACTGCCTATGAAAGTTTAGCACACCAATTAAAGGACATTCAATTCAGATTTTGTCATTTAAAACTTTCTAGTAAAAAAATTTATTGCTCTCAAGATTAGTTATGTCTATTTGTGAAGATACCAGGGCCCTGTTTCTCGAAATCTTAACTAAAGATAAAATCCAAATTTTAGTAGATACTTCAATTTTGATTGGCTAAGCACTAAAATCAATCTAATGTTATCCAAACAAATTACTAAAATTTGAATTTTATCTTAGTTAAAATTTCGTGAAACAGCCCCCTGGCCATTACTTTTCATAATTTGGAAGTACAGCATATGAATATTTTAGGATCTTCTTAAAGTAACAATGCATCATTTGAATTTTTTTGCTAAAATATCAAATTTCTCACGGCTTAATCCACGCTAATTGATTATTTAACATTTGATTAAGAAAACAAAAGTCAAAATATAAATGCTAGATAACCTCCTGGCATGGGTTCATTTGGATTTAAAATAGGGGCATCAATAATTTTTCACTTTTAACAAAATGTCTGTGAGCTTATTAAATAGCAATCGGCATAGATCGATGAAATGTCAAGTCAATATATATATTTGTAAATACTGAACGGAACTGAACCATTTTTGGACTTATAGTCCTATTAGAGAATCACCTTTCACAATATGGTAGTTTGCAAGGGATTCAATAGCACTAAAATAATGTATTGATACTATAATCTGTTTAAAATTCCACCGATATTGTAACCTGACAAGACGTAAGGATGGTGTTTCGCCACCTTTATTCATATAATGGCTTGTTGACATAGCATATATTATAACTTGTTGAGAAAGGATAAATTATATTTTCCCACACTTTTATATAAGTAATAGAAGTAGGTTGAATATAAATATTGTTTGTTTTCAAGGCAATGAGACTAACTAGACTAGATACACAAGAAATTAATAGGTATTCTGATTTTTTATGTGAGAAGATCAAATTATTCTCACTATACAGCGTCATTGAGGCTTGACTAATATAGCGACCCTGTTATAATAAAGTTAACGAAGGTTATAACTATTCATCTCCAACAAAACATCATCACGCTTATTAGTTATGTAAAGATTCAAACAACCATATTGCTTTGCTCAATGGTTTTAAACAAGAGATCAGTAATAATTGTAATAATGGCCTTTTTTTAGGTTTTCTTTTTGCTGTTTATAATAGAAATATCTTAACCTTTTAATGACCAGAATATCATGTTATAATTTTATAAGAATTTTATAATTTATATTATTTAGAAATCAATTAAAATCAGATGTCAATTCTGTTTCTTTTTATTTATGTTGTTGCCTATTACATTAATGTCTGCCTTATATTCTTTCTAAACCTTGTCAGAGCTTATTGGCCAATCAGCTTGTCTGTATTGGTATCAAGGGCTGCGTTTTGTTGATCATTATATAAATTTTATACCCCAAGCATATTAGAGTGGATCAGATGGGTTTTTTAATAGTATATAATTGGTTGATATAATAGAACTGTCACAGCAGACCAAGATAGTTATAGAGAGTAGTTTAGATTGCATTGTAGTGTACAAATCATAAAATGTTAAACAAAACTTAATTCTAGCTAGAAGGTGATAATTAAGATATAACTTGTATTTCTTTCATATTTGTAAACCATGATGCCCATCTTTAATAGAAGATCAGTTTATAAAACTCTTGTTGGTTTTATCTAAACACCTACTCCTACAGGATGTCCGTTAATAAAAGGACCATTTGTAGTAATAATATTATCAAGAGATTTGTTTGTTAAATGAATACAACCACAGAACACTGCCCTAGCGTTAAAGCCAAAAACCTATCCAAGAATTTCACCATCCTATTATTATGGACATGCCCGTTACCTGAGTTTGTCTATTTAACACCATGATGACTATGATTTTACATACTGATACGTGTATGATAGATTCTTTAAAGAAGTTTAATATCTAAAACCATGCATAGAATATATCTCAAACCATAATTCCAAAATATTGTTATTGAAATAATTTCATAGTTAGAGCCCAGGCTATGAAGAAAAAAGATCATTTCTCTTAAAAGATTTTTAATATGCAAAACAGATTGAAGAACATGTAGACATGTTAATTAATCAGATAGACAAGTATTACCACATGTATTAGACAAAGTACTTATTAATTTTATCAATGAATGATAAATACAGCTGTGCTTAATTATAGATATTGGTAGATCAATTAAGTAATGTAGTCATTTACATCTTATAAAAAGATTAATATTACTATAATCATTGATGATTAATTTATTGGGTTTTTTCTTTTCTGTTATTAATAATCGTGACAACAACTGCCTTCGGGTTATTGTATTAATCATGTCTATTAAATAAGTCAGTATTTGAATAATTTATCATATCTTAACTAGTCTTTTTGAATGAACCAATCACTGTTATTCCTTTACATATTTGTTGCTCTTTACCGAACAGCACACATTAGAATTTGAAATGTTACATACAAGAAATATATGGAACTTGTTGGTATAATAACATATGTTTTGAACATATTTTTTTTTTAAATATGTCATATACCTTCAAAATTTGAAGGTATATGACATATTTAAAAAAAAAACATAAACAAATTTTTAAGTCCATTTTTAAATATCTATATTGACAAAATTAGATTTAAGTGTGGAAAAAACAAAAAAAAATATATTCTTGAATACTCCGAATTTCATTTCTAAGCTTTTCTGTGTCTAACAGATTAGGGTCAATGAAAAATTCCTTCCTGCCATTCACTATCTTCTTTGCCCTCAGATAAAATTCAAAGGTTAGGTTCAGGGATTTGACAGAGGCGGCCACAGTATATTTGTTTAGGGGGAACAGGGGTTCTGCCCCCCCCCCCCCACCTCCGTTAAATTTTTAAAAATGGTGTCAATATTGATTTGTGCCATATATCTGGATCTGAATATAACATTTAAATTCATCAAGTAAAGAACCCCAACCAACCAAAAGCGAAAATTTACATGATTCATTTAGAAACTGAATGATAAGTGAATTTTTGATACTGTTATTTAGGGTTCCACACCTGAATCTGCCACTGTTATTTGATATTTAATTAACTGACATAGGTATGAATAAGATGATAATTAGAGTGACTCTTAAAGACAGTTTTTGTATTGTGAAGTTGGGGTGTCAGTGTAGTAATTTATCACATGTATTGTACCTACCGTTACTATGGGATGTGATCTCTGTCAATTATATTAAATGACCACTAGCTACTCTTTGTCTGTCACGTTTATATGAAATACTCTCCTCTGGTAGTGTTAAATATTTAGGCGTGTTCTATTTGTCAATAAAGCAACACCTTAGTTTGACCTGGGGAAATGACTACAGTGTAAACATTCTTGAAATTTTCATCAAGTTATGGGGGAGGAAAAAAAAGGTTTTTTCATACAATCTTGTTTTGTCACAGCATGCTACAATATCCACAAAATTTACATGAACCATATTGTTTGAAAATGGAGGGGAAAAAAGTACACTTGAGTAATCGCATTGTATTCAAATGGGATTATATTCTTGCTACTTTGTTACCATTGTTGTTAAACCAACACCAAATCATTTAAAATATTATAGACCTTGACCAGAAGCCTCCTAAATTTTGAGGCCCTAGGCTTCAGCCTGCCAAGCCCATAGGTATACCTGGCACTGGTCTGAAACACTTTCTTTACATATCCCTCTGTTTCAGGTTTAATCCCACTTTGGAGCGATACTGACTCATAAATTATTTATGCATCATCCAAGGCTAGTGCTGTTATGGTTACCATGTCAATGACATGAAATATATCATAATATACTTTATATTTTACAGTTGAAACCTCACGAACAAAGTTAGATTCAAGTGATGAAGAAGAGAGTCCACCTCCTGTCCGTAAAATTATTAAACCTGATTTTAATCTACTGTTGAATAATAGTTTCGATGTAAGTAAAGATAATTATTTTATTTATGTGGATATCGAATTGAGTGCTGAGAATTATGTGAATAGCTTTATGTTGTGGACAGAGCACATTCATGAACCAATGTAGGAAATAAAATAAATAATTGACCCAAAGCTCTGATATGACTGTTTAGATGTTGAATAAGTGTCACCTGTTTTAGCGTTATATTGTAAGGTTATTGGCCACACTTGTTTTACTAGTAAATGCTCTCAGGTCCAGAGTTTTCAACCAATAAATTGGAATATATGTTAGCATTTGAGTGTCACACATATTCCAATTTATATCACTTAAGGTAAGTCTCAATTTAAAGACCTTTTTTAATGCCAGAAACCTTGGTGGTTATATAATGTTGAGCATTATTGAAAGTGAATTTTCACTGAATGAATTTTTCTTGTAAATGTTACAGTAATTCAATTATTTTGTGACTTTTTAGGAGGATGATTATCATGAAGAAACTGATGAAGAGAAGAAAAAATTAGAAGCAACCATGTCTCCATTATCCCCTGTAACACCAGTGGCTGACAATCCATCATGGCAACAAGCAGGTAGCCCTACATTTCATTGCATGGCAATGGTTACTAGTTTAACTGGCTTGTTTCTAAACATTGGGAACATATTGATTTGTAAATAGCACAAGGTTTCAAAACAATTTGTTAATGTTTATGTATATGGGTGAAGAGTTAGTCAAAACAAAAAAGAAATCTTTGGTGGCCTATGTTTCACTTTCTTTAACCCTTGATGCACAACAGTCCCATGGTTGTGACAATGTCATACAGTCAAATTTCCAAAATGAAACAATAGATGGAAAATAGTAGTGAAAAAATATTTGCATAATTTTAATGCCTATTTGGTTTTAGAACTATACATTTTGAGTATTTTTGAAACCTAACATGATCTTATATTGGACTACATACCAGTACCTAAAGGGTTAAATAGTGTGAATCTTGTAAAAGAACCAATGCCTAATTTGTTTGGGGTAAAAGGCCTACAATTGTCAAGGAAAGGAGTTAACTGTAAGGAAGGAGCTTTCTAAGTTTTCTAGGTGCATGAAAATTTTGTAGATCTAAATGTTGAAATAATAATGGATAGAAAAGAAGTCAACATATTTGTAAAAAGAAAAAAAAAAGAATATACTTGCATCTAAATTAGTAGATCTTACTAACAGTAGTTTTTCTTTGTGCATGATAATTTCATGGCTTTGGTATTATTTGTCTATAGTTGTGAGGGATGCAACAACCGGTGAAAGACGTCAGTGCACCTTACAGAGAAGACATACCATCATGGTCTGTGAATCACCAACAGACGGCAAGGTAGTTCAACAAGAGTTACCACCCTTAGAGGAAGTGGCGGATGAACCTTGCAGCCCACCTGCTCAAGCTCCATCAGACCCCCTTCATTTTACTAGTCCAGAAAGTGTACATACCAGTTGTTGTGGAGTGACACAAAGACATTCTAGTCAAAAAAATAATAACCAAATTATAGCACCAAAGAAACGTGAGACAAAAGGTCAAAAATTGTCTACCTGCTTGGGTGCTATATCTGAAGCAGATGATTCAATCACTGATGTTGGTTGTGCTGATATTAGTCAATTGAATGCTACTGAACTTATGCATGTAAGTTGGAAATCCGCATGTTGTCGGACTTCTACTAATTCTTCTGCACCTTGCCCAGACTGTCGCCCTGTTCCGGTAAGTATACAGCTAGCACTGCTAATTCTTTACACATACATAATACATGGACTGTAAGTACCAAATATCTTTTAGCCTCTGCTATATATGCAAACTGGTGCATTAAGCTACCAGTCTTAATCAAAGACAATTATGGATCCAGAAATCCAGAAAAGTTACATTGGCACGTCTATTTGGTAGGATTTTGATTTTTAGAAAGTATTTTTGGATAAAAGAGGGCACATGAAATTTTTAAAGTGGGAAACCTGATCCCCCTGTCTCACCTCTGTTGATTAAAAAGAAAACTTTGGTGTTTCTTAATTCATGTATTATCTATGTTTTAATATACTAATAATTTTAAATTCATACTTAAGAGAAAGACCTTTTATTAAAATCTTCAATAATGATTGTACAATGTTGCCAACAATTATTATAATATTGAAATTTATGTTACTTTCAATTTTGAAATATGAAAAAAAAAAAAAATCATATCCACATGAGTGACTACTTTGTCCCAAAATTCTTTTGTATGTAGGTAATTATTTTCAAAAAACACTTGAGAAATTAAATTATATTTTACTATAACTGTTTATTTTATGTGAGTATTTTTTTTTTAATGTTTTGTTTGAATGTTATCCGTGTTTATGTCTTAAATTATTTCTTAAAAAGTATGAGCTTTAATTATTCTATTGAATTAGCTATATTAAGGTTGCTTGCAAATGCTAAGATAAGTCTTTCAAAGGAAGTTTTTAAGATTTAAGATTTTTACTGCACTGCAATCAAAAGTTAACATTCATTTTAGAAAGTATTTTTCACAGATTAAACTAAATTTCTTAGAAACTAGTGATTTAATATGAGTTTATATTCCTAATAATAGTGGGTATTTTTTGCTGGGCCAATAATTCATCAAGTTCTTGCTTACATATATCATAAGCTTAAAGTATAAGCTAAATGCACTTGTCAAGCTTTAAAATCTTTCTACAACGGATTATTACTTTATCTTGAAATACACTTTCAATTGGAATTCTTACAGCACTTTCTTTAACATCATCAATTTTCATTAAGTTTCACATTTATTTTTGATTTGAATTTCAATCTTTTCAAATTTGAATTATATGTTTTGTTTTAAAGTTTATATAAGTATGTGTGCATTTTTAATTTATGTACGTGTGGATTTTGTTTTTTTCTGTAACGTGTGCATTTAATTTTTTGTCTTGATTGTAAAATATGCATGTCTTCGTAATATCACTAGAGTTTTTGACGACATGATTTGAACACCCTTCCTCAGAGTCAGGATTAGCGAGTGACAGTCCCTATTGTGACGTCAGAGGAATTTTTTGAAACATGCACATGAGAGAAATAGCTAACAGAATTTCAAGAAAATAGTGCAGAAGGATCAGTAAATAAAGACTAAAGTATACAAAAAGTTTGGGGATTCTTTGGGACTAAATCTTATTGTTTATGTTATTCTAAAGTGTGAATCCACTTTAATTCAAAAAATCTTTGCTAGTGACATTGTTTTTGTCAGTAGGAGGATCAGTCTTGAAATGTTTATTTAGTTTTATCATAACATTTCTACCCGTGTGTCCTTCGAGATTAAATGTGTCTTAACTGGTTAGGTCTGTTATGTTTAATATCTGCAAAACGTTCTTTAATTTGCATTGAAATGCCATGGGTTTTTTTTCTCCACATGGGAAACAAGTTTTAAAATAATTAGACAATATTTCAATTACTGTATGTCAATTAAAACCAGTACCACTAGCGAAGCAGTTAGCTGTTTTGGTCTGATTTGCGGCAGATATTTGATACATTATTCAAATTAATTACTGTAAGGGCCGTCCACTAGTTATAAATATAGGTCTCATTGGAGCATAGGGAATATAAGCATTTAGATAACTTTGTGTCAAATTTTAATTACCAAGCTATTTGTATGTGATATGTAGCATGACAGTTTAAATTAAAAGTTATTGAATAAAATCAAGTTATCATATTCAAATTAATAAATTGAACTAGAAATTTACAGAAATGTATCTGGGCACGCCTTAATGGGTGTAGCTCTAGTGATAGGCCAATTGAATCCATTTTTAAAAAGTTGTTAATGATAGTTAAAAACCATTTTAAATTAACTCCCTTTGTAATAGTGAATGCATTCTTACCAGTTGTAACTGAATTCAGCATTTCTATAATTCATCTGTGATAAATTAACTTTAGAGCATGTGTATGTCATGACATATTCTTGCATGACTGAAGACATTCAACATCAGTGATAAATACTCAAATTGGACTTTCAACAAAACAAAAGACCCCTCCCGACCTCACACTTCCTTTAAAATTTGAATAGATAAACTCGTATTTGACGCCAATGTACATATTTATGGTTGATTTATTTTCCTGAAAAATTATATTTTTGTTCTGCACACATGGGTAGCCTACACATTGTTTCAAATAAATTATTGTTTTTTTGTGTGTTTTTGTATATCAGGGTATTTATTTTGTATAGTATCATTAGTGTATTTATTTGATGTTTTAATCTAAATGAATGATTAAGTATTTATTCTTTTGTATTTATTTTAGAAACGTTGGAAAAATCCTATTGAATGTTTAAATCTTACCTTAGAAGAGGTGACTCATATAAGAAGTGTTTTAACCAAAGCTGAACTAGAATCTTTAATTACGCAACCTACTTTATATAATCAAGTGGCAAAATCAAAGGTGAGATTTGTCTTAGATAATAGGAATACCAAAGAACATTTTAGTTACAAAATAGGTAGCAAATTATAATTTATATTATTTTAGCCCTCAATCATGGAGCACATTTGGCATGTCCTCTCCTCTCACCTTATAAAAAATTAATGTTTTCTTGATAAAAAAATTGCTCTGTTCATGATGTAACATTTCTGTTAAAGATTACTACAACACTGTGCCCATAGCTACAGCTAACAGATAATAATTTATTGCCATGATATGTTAAGATTTCATGAGAAAATAAATCTCATTGCCCCCCCCCCCCCCCCCCCCAGGATTACATTTAATATTTTTCATGTACCGGTAGTAGGTTTCTTTTTGAACCATCAAAAAACATCCTCCTCTTGTGACAAGTTATGCTAGGCCTATGATATGAAATACAACCCATCCAAATGATTTTGAACCATAATCATGAGGACAATATTTGTTGTTCATCGGATTGGAGACAATGCAATATTTTCAACCAGTCCTAGACTAATTTTCGTGAATGTTTAAATTTGAAGTCAACTATTTCCAATGGAAATTTATGTTTAAATTTTAGAAGTCTGATAAATAAGGCACACTGTAACCAACAATTCGAATGCACAATTGGAACAGACAGCGTCACATAGGTGATGCTAGTGGGTGTGTCTAAACTTTAGTTGATGCACTTGTCAAGGTAATAGATGTTTTGATGGTGATATTAAAGGGGAGCAACTCTATTTATATTTCTTGTTATCTTTTCAGATTTGTTTTACATGTAAAAAAATCAAGTTCTCCTTGTTTGGAGAATGGGGTACAAAGTGTAAATTTTGTAAACGTTCTGTTTGTAGCAAGTGCCTTCGGAAGGTAAGATATCCTTTAGGAATGATTTATTTTACAGTTTAAAGAAAGTAGAGATTCCAGGCATTTTGCATGATAGGGAGGCCTAATTATGAAAGGGTAGGCCTATATTATTAACAATGCTGATTATGGAAGCCCTGCTGAATTCACACTTCCAAGATCCAAATATGAAGATTTGACTTCATATTAATCAATCAGAGTGCAATAAATTATGGTTTCTCTCTACATTTGTTTCTAGAGACAGTAGCTTTCACCATAGTTAATCATATTCAGAGATACGAGTTTGAAACTTTTCTATGTCAAATATATAGGCTTGCAACAGACATTTAAACTTCAAAGAATCTACATCACGATTAAATGTCAAATACACTAATCATGATACATAACTTTACAATTCTTTAGCCAACTTATTATTTGGCAAGAAAATTTTTCAAATATAATATTTTAGGGTTGTATGGAGATATTTATCGATTGAAAAACATAATGTAGGGGTTCTGTCAATTCCACCACTTTGGATCTATTGAGATATGTTTTCTGTGATGTCACATAAAGTTGTGATTTATTACCATTCTTTGTGATGTAATTTTTGGGCCAAGAAAAATGTTCAGTTATAATTTTGGAATCATATTTGAGAGATTTATCGATTAAAAGTCATAATTTTGGTGATCTGTCTCAGGTGGGGCACTAATTCCAGCCATTCCCTTCAAACTATAGTAGTATTTCTTTCCAAAGAATTCCCAGTGTTGACAGAGCAAGTTGACAATTTTACAGCATATTCAGTGAAGTAAAATTAATAGGAAAAAGAGCATTTATTGATTTATTAATATTTTTGTAAAAGAGCACCTGTATCTGCAATTGATACTGTGTAATATATATATATATATATATAAAATACTACTGAGAAAACAGATGGTTAATCTGGTTCTTATCTGCACCTGTTGTTTTAACAAATGTTTATTGAGTTTTTATTGGGGGTTTTGTGGATTTCTTTAAAGATGCTTTATTAAAGATTTAAAGAGATGGCTGTTGTTGCTATAATAGTTCAAACCTAGATAATGAAAAATGCATATATTGCAAATTTCATTCAATTACTTTATATTGGTCAAAGTTATAACTGTTTGAAAATGAAGCGTAGATCATTTACTATCATAGCAATGGTACTTGACAACCGAGATTCGGCCTCAATTGTCTATTTTATCCTTTAAAGCCAAAAGAAAGACTTGAAATATGCAGATTTAGCTCTTACATAATGCATCTTTATAATTGTTTTGTGATTGATATTTTCAGATGAATATACCAACAGAACATTTTAAAAATATACCTGTTCATACATTGTCTCCTGGATCCCCTTCTCATGAATCCAAAGAAGCTATGAACAGATTAGTCAGGTAATTTCATTTATTTAAACATTTATTTCACATATATCTCAAAAGTCAAATTTTACTGGAAAGAGAAATTATTTTTTCCATGATTGTCATAAGAAAAATGGAGAGTAAAATCAATTGAAACAAAATATAAACTTTAAATGGCCTATTAATCTATATGAAGAATTTTTGTATGGTCTTAAACTGTACATTAAACTTTATTGTTGCATGATTGGGCTTTATATTAATCTGGACATTGTATGCTGCTGTTATCACTCTCCCTCTTAAAATATATACCTAAGATAAAGAGGGAGCCTCAGTGGCATATTGATTAAGGGGCTGGCTAACTAAACAGGAGGTCGGAGGTTCAATCCCCATGCTAGTAGACAAAGTTCCACTGGAATATACAGTGTGGTTTCCACCTTGTCAGTTGGTGCAGGACGAAGGGACTGACCACGACAGCATCAAGTCATTCGGATGGGATGCTAAATTGGAGTCCTGTGTACACATTGGTGTCTGTAAAAGAACCATTGACAGTTGAAATTCAATATAAGAGTGGGCCGTAGCACCATGGTCAGTATGGTGTATGCAGAGGCGTAGCTGTGAAATATATAGGGGGGGGGGGGCGCAACCCTAACCCCTAACCCTAACCCTATTTTAAAACCCCTAAAAATATAAACAAACACATGGCCATGCTGTCTACACAACTCGTTTGCTGATTGGCCCACCGCGTGCAAAGTATTATGGTTAAGTGGCTGGCAATAAATATTTGGTTTTGGCGTTAATGTTTTTGGGTACCTACATGCGATTCACTCTGATAAGTGGCAGAAAAAAATTAACTAGACACAATTTTATGGAACACAGTTACTTTTCACTTCACACATGTTTCAAGGATGATTCTCTCTGTGTTTTATTTTAGCAATGTAAACCATATTGGGATATGTACAGGTTTTATACAGATAGAATCTTAACTAATCCTAATAATTGTTGTAAATAAATAGGAGTTAGGGTCTACTATGTAAATTTTTTGGGGGGTCCAAGTATATTCAGACCCCCCAGAAAAACAATTGGGGGGGTCGGACCCCCCCCCCCCCCATGTGTGATGCCCATGGGTGTATGCCCATATTCTTAAGCCCAGTTCAGTTCTAAAATGTAGGACGTTGAACCCCATTTTATTTCATTTCATTTTCTAAGATGAAGAGAATGTGATTACCAGTAATAATGTCGGTAAAAAACTGATTTTAAACTTCCATCTTTTATTATGGTAGATGCACTCATGGATGATATTTTTTTTCTTTTTCAGTTTTGCACCAACCGGTTCTAATCCTGTAACACCATCATCAAGTCGTAAACAAGATAAAGACATTAAAAATAAAAAATCCAGCTTACAGCGTTCACAATCCATGTATTTCAAACCATCTCCGGCTAAAGTGTTAAAAGGACCTCTCGTGAATATCTGTCACGATTGTAAAGATATGACTTTAGAAATTATTCGTGCTGGGCGGACCTCCATTGCTCTCATAAATCAAGGGAAAGAACCACATCTGAAAGTAGTTCATTGATGCTGTTTGTGTTATCATCATTTTATTCATCATTGTTTTAAAATCATCTACATATATTGAGAATTAGATTGTTGTTAATTCTTGATATAATTTTATCATCATTTTCTTCATATCGAAAAGAAGAGCACAGAGACTTCTGTTAATTCATTATTTTAACTGAATTGACGTGCATCTTCAAGAAAATATAACATTAGAAAATTCATCTTTATACAGAATCCAAGTTTATCAAGATAAATATGTAGGAGAGTTAAAGCTGAACTCTGATTACAAAAACTATGGAAATAATTAAATAAAAAAAAGTTAATGCCCCAAACAGTCGCCATACTTGAAATATAGCAAGCCAGATGTGCACACTGTGCTCGACAACATATACTGGATGTGGACGTGGCCTGCCTATCCCCTCCCTTATACCCGTCATCAGTCGTCATGTTTGTTCTACAAATTGAAAACAAGTGTGGCGACTGTTTGGGGTGTTATCTTTTTTTTATTTAATTATTTCCATAGTTTTGTAATCAGAGTTCAGCTTTAAGTGTACAGATACGAGGAAGACTTCAGATGGGGAAGAAATCATCAAAAAGAAATGCTTGACTCACATACAATTTGTGTGTATATAAAATCAACATTTACAAGGTTAAATTAAGTTGTAACATATTAATATTGTTTCTAATCCTTATACATCCATTACATCTTATTTAAAAGTTATTACTTTTGATTCATCATATTTTTAAATTTATTTAGCAAATAACTTGCATTCCTTTTAAAATTGTCCATATTTTACAACTGTGATCTTGCTAGGAAAGTCTTGATAATGATGTTATATTGTCATTAGTTATTCATTTGTTTTCATGATGATAATAATTTCTCCATTATGCCATCTTTAATGTTAAAAAAAAAGCAAATCATCTAACACCCCAGGAATCTTACCAATAGACCGCCATTTCTATTATCATGTATGCAAGTATATACATTTATTCTTTTTTGTTAATGTTTAATAGTGCAAAGTTAAAAATGGTTGTGAAAAGTATTTGTTCATTTCATGCTCAGTAGATTATATTTATGCATTGAATGTTTCTAATTATGGAATTAATTTGCTGGTTGTGACTAAAAATTTAATTAAAAAAGAAGTGAACGTGTTTGGGTTCTCCCTGTGCTATGTATTTTGTCTTTAGTATTGAAGGACTCTGTGAGTCCTTAGACTCGGTACATAAACCCGATAACCTATAAAAACATGAATCGGAGAAAATGGCCTTTAGAGTCTCAACAGCCCAGTATTTGTGCAATGTTACCATATAATTTGAGGGTCGTTAATTACCAGTTTATAAAAAAAAGATCATAAAAAAAAAATGATTTAATAATTGGTTGAATATTGGCGTTATCCATCCATCCATCGCCAATCGTGTTTATGTTATAAGATGAAGATGCCTAATGTTATCAAATTGACTTGAGATTCATACACATGCATGAGATGATTTCAGTGATTTCTGATAATTCAGACAGCTAAAGTTATCTGAATATTGAGTTAATCAAGTTTTAATATTTCTGATAATTACTTAAAGATGCATTATGTAGGATTTAGATAAAAAAAACCTGACAGTTCTTGCTATAATAGTTCAAGAATAGATAATGAAAAAGGAATATATTGAAAATTACTTCATTCTGAGTGGAGTTATGAATGAGTGAAGAATAGCTTATTCTCAATTTTCATTGCTACCGTTACAAAAGTCTTGATTATCCATTTTAAAAATTAAATTATTAAATGGCGACCAAGTTCCACTCTGTTCAATATCACAACCATCCAATATTCTAGAGATTTGATTATGGGCTTGTCGTGTGAAAAATTTGAGACCAAAATAAAAATCTGCTATAGGCAGGTTTAGCTCTTACATAATGCATATTTAGTAAGTTTGTTATTTTTGATCAGTTTTTGGTGTCTTGTACATTGACTAAAAAAGAATAAACAGGTGACAACCTTTGTGGTCTTCTGGGACAACTTGTCTGTCTGCCAACGTATCTTTGACCATAATATGGGTTATTAGATTTATGTACTCCCCCTTTAGATGTTACGGTATTGTACAAAAATATTTATATAAGTAAATGTATAAATAGCGTTTAATCAAAGTCTTGTTCTGTGATCTCATCATGATATTAATTATTTCATTAATAAAGCTAATACCTCTAATTATTCATTCAATCATCTGTTAATTTGTATAAATTGTATATAATAGACTACTTACCACTTGATATACATATAACATTTAATATCCTCTATTTTATAGTTTTATCATTTTGCAGTATTTTAATAGTTATCAGTGATTTACATACAATTCAATGCATCTGTTGTAATATTTTATGATCCATTTATGTGGATTCATTAATTAAAGTATGTTGGTATGTACTGAATTGATGTAAAACAATTCTGCCATATTTCAGTGGATAAATTTAGTTCCTTACAGCTACTCTGTTGACTAGACTGGGTTTTGTTAGATCCATGACAATAATTTTATTGGCTTTGGTACCTGATCAAAAGGTGTCTCATCATAATTAAGATGTTTTCAGTTTCTAATACAGTAGGCTACATTCTACTTGTTTGATACATTCTAATCATAATCCATTAGTCTTTGACTGATCAGTCGAACCTCAGTCAGAAAGCAAGCCGAGGATGATTTTTATATAAGTGATGTATGTACTATGTCAACCAAAAATGCTAAAATATTTGATTTTTTTTCTGTACGTACAAAGACTTTGATATTCTTGATTTGATCATCAGATAACAATAGGAAATTATCATTTTCAGGAAATGAACCCCCCAGTAAATTGTGGCAATATTGTAGGGTTTGATATATTTTTAAATTTAGGTGATTCAAAGATAGGTTATCCTTTAATTGGTGACCTCTAAATGATGACAATAAATTAATGCTGTTGGTGAAAAGCATTTTAACGCATAGGCCTATATTAAAATGTGAGGTTTCTGTAGTCTTCCATGATAATCCACAAATTATATCGGATTGTTGATATGTATTGAAGTTCATCTGTACAGATTTATATAGCCATGGTTAATTTGTTGGTTTTAATATATATTAGTGAGGAAATCTGTATCAGATAGTCTTATGCAATTAATACCTTGCCCATAAACTATTGCCATATATTACATTATTTCATGCTTCCATTTATTCATTATTCCATCCATTTGTCATGTTTCTTTCATCTATTGTGATAATGTATTTTTATCTGGTATATCTAATGACACTTTTTTATTTTATACAATTATGTGTAAGTCTATCATTTAGGCAAAAATGGTTGAAAAAAGACACCTAAGAGTTGGTAAAAAAATAAGTTCAAATTTTTAATTGTATAGATATCTTTGATTGTTATAAAATCTATATAGTTTAGTTATATTACACTAAGTATTTCTAGCCCAAATAGAGAGTATAAGAGCATATTTTAAGAAAAATGCTAAATACCATTGAAGATAAAAGTTGTCATAAGTTATACTATTTTAGATATACATGTATCTTGTGAAAAACACAAATACATAGTAGAATTTGTGAAATTGGTTTTGTTTCCAATGTTTGTATCACAATACCAAAATGGTTAAAGGTTGTAAAAGGTCTATTGATGTATCCAAACATTAAATAAATGTCTTATACATAAATGTACATGTATATAGCAGTAAATGTATATCAACATTGTTAAAATTGATCAAATAGTTTTCAAAATATATATGACCATTAAAAAAAATTACAAACCATACTATACTATATTGTTATATTCCAAAACGGAGCATAGTTTTTTCTTTCCTCTTGACTCAGTGACAAGGAGGTTCTGGGTTCATACCCTGTGTTGGGTGAGAAAGTTCCCCAAGGTTATCAGTGTGATTTGCCTTTGTCAGTGGTGCAGGATGGAGTTACTGGCAACAGTATATATTTAGTCATTCGGATTGCACAAAAACCAAGATCTTGTCTACACATTGGCGTGCATGTAACTGAACCCTTGGCAGTTTGAAAGTTTGAATTTGATGGAAGAGTAGGCGGCAACGCCACTATCCGGATAAAGTTTCCTTCATAGCACATGACGTATGTCTGACGTCTGTATTCATTAGTAGGGTCGGTACAGAAAAGTAGGATGTTAAAAACACCATTTCATTTCATTACCTCCTTTCCGACAAATAAGGGTTATTCGAAGCGTATTTGAAATGGAATACAATGAAATGGGATTTCACGTCCTACTATTCTGCTCCGACTGGGCTAATGGAGACGGGTGGCATATTTGAAACTTAATGGTTAGAGTGCTTTCATCCATGCTTAATACAGGTCATAAGCTTGGCAAAGAAGCGTACGTAGATACTTAAACGTATACATTTTAAGATAAAACATCTTCACGATATAGTACATTAATTTATATTACTGCAGTACTAAATACTCAGAAAATCTAGTCTTTATTTTTTTTTCTCTTTCTGATGTTAAGCCATACAGTGCCATACAGTGCACAATCTAATTACATATAATAGGGCAATGAAGTGTGTAAGGAACATGTCCTTACATGCCGATTATTATCCCACTTAAAATTCAGAATTAATTAATGCATACATCCCAAAACAATTATTTTATATTTCTGGTACTGCTTGAAAAACTATATATATATAGACTACTACCCTCTTATGACCCAAATGTTTCACCCCAAATTTGAAAATAACCCACGAAAAACTATAGCCGCTTTGCCATGAACAATGTTTTTGGCAAAGGGGAATAAATTGATAGAGTTCACCATGTAGGACACCACATCTTCAAACCAAATTTGAAAAAAAAAACATTAACAAACACATAGTCACATTTCAACAACTTGTGTTATAGTTGTGTTAAAACATCATTGGAAAGGCGAATAATTCAGCCTTCCATCAATGTAAAGTACAAGATATTACCACAAGAAGGAAATCTGTGTAAGGTTCTGAAAACAGACAAATATCAGCGCCTTGCCGTTTTTAAAATAGGGTTTAACTTTCTATTTTTCTGCTCCGACTGGGATAATGAAGATGGGCATACGACGCTACTCTTAATTCGAATTCAAGCTGTCTATAGGGTTCTTTTACGTACACACCCGAAAGACTACGCATTGTCCCTTTTCAGGCCCTCCGCCCTACACCACTAACAAGCGGGAACCACACCGAAATATCCTGATAAATTTTCTGGACCAGCACCGGAATTGAACATGAGACCTCTAGGTTAGCGAGTCAACATCTTACTCACCAAGCCACCGCAACTCCCTTGCTGTTTTTAGAAAATAGGGAAGCAGTCAGAGATATCACCAAGCTGACGTTATCCTTCCATACTAAACAACCAAGGTGATGATAAGACACATTTCCCGGTTTAATAATCATGGTTCACAGTTTTGATAACTTTTGGTCTACTCCGAACATTTATAATATAATAAGTTTTAAAAATAAAGAAATATCTTTTATGATATACGTGTATACATACGCGGATTACGTTTCGCGGCATCGTTAAAAAGAAACCTTTCCGATGGATATATATGCACTGTCCGTTTTTTCGTGGGCAGACACATTGTGTGGGCTCATATTTTGATAAGAACCTTACACCCAACCAGATGTTATGTCTTTCTAGATTTGTATAGAATAGGTTTTAAATATCACCTTTTATAAAAGTTTATACCTATTACAGTGATTGAAACCTTACAGACAAATATTTTTATGTAAATATTACGTGACAATTTTGTTTGTATTTATTTGGTTTTCGAATCTCTATAATTCCATTGTCCATGTCAGAAAGTTAGTTCAAAATCTATATAAATCAAACCGTAAACCATTAAATTATTAGTTATACCTACTCTGTCAAGATGAAGGTTCTAGCAATCTTTTCTATTATTTCTGTACTGGCGATTGTCCACGCTCAGCTAGGCGAAAATGCCACTTCTATTGAATCCAACTCAACATCTTTAACACAGATGTTGGAGCAAATGTTCTGGAACTTCTTTCTAGAAAGCCAGCAACCATTCCAAGAAGAAGGCCAACAACCACCACCTGGGCGAGAGGATCACGAACAGGGACCACCCGGTCGACAAGAAGATGAAAGGCCAGGGGACAGGGAAGATGGTCCACCACCACCAAGACGGGATGGGGAAGATGGTCCGCCACCACCAAGACGGGATAGAGAAGATGGTCCACCAAGACGGGATAGAGAAGATGGTCCCCCAAGACGGGATAGAGAAGATGGTCCACCAACACAGAATAGAGAAGATGGTCCACCACCACCAAGACACGATAGGGGCGATGGTCGAAGATCACAAAGAGAAAATGATGGTGAAGGCAGACGACATTAGAGATGCCAGTGAAGACAAATTAAATATAGTGAGTTTTTTGTTTTTATATCCATTAACAAATGCGGAGCAAGACGATTCTCTTGATGATAGTTGTATGAGTAAGTAGAGACCCAAAAGTAATTCGACGCTTGGGAATTTTCCAAGAATGTCTCCCTTGTTCAGAGGGGTTACACGCAATGGTAGAACACATAATTTCACTGGATATCAAATTTCGAAAATAACTGAAGGCTTGCTGCAAGGGTAGAGGTACCTTCTCTTGAACTGTACACATAGATGACAATCATTTAGATTGAGAGTACAAGTAGAACTATGTTGTTTAATTTCTCTACGGCTAAAATGATAGGAAATGGCTCCTAATGGGCCCATAGACGTACGAGCCAGGGGGCGGGGCGGGGCGGGGGGGGGCAGCTGCCCCCCTAACTTTCGGGCAAGCTGACTTTCGGGCAGACGGGTAAAGTGAAAAAAAAAATTATTTCATCTACTTGGCAAAATAAAGTGCCCGAAATCTAATAAAACACTAATTTTACGGGCTGGAATAGCAGTAAACGCGTTTGCGGCCGTCAAATATTCCAAAATTTTCTTGGGGAGTCCATACAAGGTCAGCTCCGCTTCTTTGCCTCTCGGAAGAAAACCGGCGCCGCTGTCTTTAAACCTGAATTTTTTTCGGGCATTTCTAGTTTTGCTTCCCGAACTGTCATCGAGCCCTAATAAAACACTAATTTTACTTTTCTTTTAATTGAATACCACGAATTTGTACTGAGTTGACTATGGATTAAAACATTTTGTCTGGAGCCACTCTACTTTTTGCGACATTTTTTGGGCATCGATTACTATTTGTCAATGCAGCTGAAACAGTCTGATTGGGTGGTTGGAATTCAGAATGGGATTTCGGTTACAAAACCATTGGATACTTTTGGAGTTGCTAACACGGGCTAGAATAGCAGAAAACGCATTTTGCGGTGGTTAAATTTTCAAAATTTTCTCTGGGAGGGTGAGGCCCCCATACCCCGCGACGATTGATTGGTTGTTTGGAATTCGGGTCAGCCAGGCAGGCTATATTGGACCAAATTGAAGTTGCTGTATTCACAGGTTGGAATAGCAGGAAAAAGCGTTTGCGGCAGTTAAATTTTCAAAATTTTCTCCCAACGGCCCCGTCTCCGTGGACTAAACGATTGGAATTCGAGTCAGCCATTTTAATTAGCCTATATTAGACCACTTTGAAGTTGCTTTGTTCACGGGCCAGGCAGGCTCCGTGGACTGTAAACGATTGGAATTCGACTTTTCGAGTCGGCCATCTTTATTAGCCTATATTAGACCACTTTGAAGTTGCTTTGTTCACGGGCCAGGCAGGCTATATTGGACCAAATTGAAGTTGCTGTATTTAAAGACTGGAATAGCAGTAAAACGCGTTTGCGACCGTTAAATCTTCTCCGAACAGTCCCGTCTCCGTGAACTGTAAACGATTGATCTTTTGATTGGAATTCGAGTCAGCCATCTGAGCTAAATCGCTAATATTTGTCACCTAGAAATTGACACAAATGGGTCGCAACGCATGTAATAATGTAATATGAATGTATGTAAACTGATTTACATTCAATCGTTTCTGTTTTACTGTAATTTCTAATCAGTTATGTTCGGCGAAATGCGCCAAAGTCTCATGTAAATAGCAATCTTTTGCGTCTGGTTTTTCCAGTCTACACCGATGGTATTTATTGCGCATGCTCTCCAGATAAGGATATAGCGTCACCATTTGACATGATTTGTGGAATATGTCTAGCCTCGTTCTTTGAGTCATTTGTTCCAAATGGCGCCGAAACACATTATGGTACACGATTCGTGTACCAATAGTAAAATGTTTATTTTGTCTTGAATATTGGATATCAGAAGCCCATCTTTTCCCTGTAAGATCACAAGACCAATGTTGATTTGAATTGACAAATAATTCGTGTTTTCAATGTTGAAGATTTTTGATGATATTGAGTTAGAGACTTAGCTATATACTTTAATTAGCCTATATTAGACTACTTTGAAGACCGGCGCCGAAAACCAAATTTATTTCGGGCATGTCAGGTTCTGCCCCCCCCCCTAACTGTCATCGAGCCCGTACGCCTATGCTAATGGCGATCAACATTAATCGTTTGAAACATTAATTTTTTTTTCACTAATTGATAAATATGGACCCCCAATCCATAGCTATAAAATATACATGTCTACGCCTCCTACGCGTTGGGTTTACCCTTTCCCCCTGACCACCACCACCCCAACCCACGTATGCGCCCAAATGAATCGTTGAAATAAGGATATATATATATAACAAATATTCTGACCAGATTTGAAAATCAATCCCTGGTGCACATGTGTTACAGGAGTTTAACCCCTAAAGCACAATTTCCGTCGCGTACTTCTCCTTTAAGGAAAACAAATAATACTAATTTCCAAATATATTTTTGTTTCTTTCAGGAGAGACTGTTAATTATCACGCAATTCTCGAGTTACTAAAGAAATAATAAAAAGAATGAGTTCATGTTTATTATTGTTGGCATTCAGTCATTCATACACAACAATATATTATTTTTAAATTTTGTGTATAAGGAAACTAGAATATATTCAGAAATTTTTATGAGTGGGGTATTGATCAACGAGGTACCCACTTGATTATGAGGACAGGAATCAAATCTTTAATGGGGTTTAACGTCCTACTGTTCTCCTTCGACTGGGCTAATGAAGACAGGCATACGCTATAGGGCACTACAGCTTGCATTTATATCAAATTTCAACTGCCGAGGGTTCTTTTACATGCAAGCCAACCTGTGCATGGTACCTTGCTGGAAAATCCTTATAAACTTCTTTGACCAACATCTGGATTGAAAACCGGGACCTCCAGATCAGCTAGCCAACGTTTTACTGAGAAATAACTGATTATGGACAACCAGAGAAGCATGAACATATAAATCACACATCTAATAAAAAAAATAGATAGTATTTTGGACACGTGATTCGTTGTGTTTTGAAGTTGTCTCAGAACCTAAAACCCTGGCCCATTTTTGTTTACAAATTATATTGGAATGTGACAACCTGTCACACTGAGGATGTACATTAGTATATAATCGATGAAGAGATGAATAGCTATAGGTATTTATAATACAGAAATATATCTATACCTGTTGCTGAACGTACCTGTTACTAACCGTCAGACAAGGTGTGATGTGCAACTCCTATCGATTGTGGATCTCACTAATCACCGACAAGAACGTTTTTAACACTGGCGGTCATGATAATATCGCCCATAGTAGTGCAAAAGCTAACAGTGAATTTTGTCAATTTTTTGTGAAATCCTTTAAATTTTGGATATAATGTTAAGAATATGAATATCTATAACATATTTTTCCTTGCTGGTCACTTTCTGCAATACTTTGAGCGCTATTGACAACAGAAACTGTCTTGTGGGTTCTTGTTTCTGATTTAGGACCCAATGTGTATCTGCTACGGAGTTCTAAATCTGTAACAAGCAAAAAATTTATACATATTTCAATATTTTATTAACAATGTGATAACTGTATTATTGATAATGATAATACTGAAGAATATAGGTTGCCAAGGGTCTTTATATAGTCCACCTTTTAGTTTTTAGAATCGGGGGAAATAACCACACGATAAACTACAAAATCCGGAAAAGTTTAAATGAAAAGTCTCAAAAACAGTGACCTACAGATTTCCCCTATAACTGCACAAAAAAATACAAGCACTTACAAGTGCATTTAAAAGATTTCTGTAATATGGCTGTTAACTCTGCCAAAACAATTGCCTGATTTTGATACTGTTCCTTGTTTGTACTAGCTAAACCCCCAACAAATTTTTCAAAAACTATCTTAAAAACTCTGACGTGAGAGCTGGACTGCATTTACAAGAATTTTGGACTAATTGGAATGACAATAATATATTCTTACATGAAATGTGAGCATATATAATAAAACCATGAAAAAATACTATTCAAAAACAATAATTATTGAATTCTATTAAACATACTGCTATTTCTGAAATGGGAATTACATAAATAATTATTGTTGACATCAAAATTAACAAAGATTTATCAGAAATATAATTTTTTTTTAAAATTTGAGGATAAATTATATGATAAAACCTTCTTGCGCAAATTTATATGTTCATTCAATAATTGTTGGCCTTCAATTTTTTTGAAATACAGAAAATAAAGAGTAACTTTTACATAAACATCAATACCTTTTATATAAATTAGTAGCCATTATCTAACAAAAGAAGATCATAAACTAAACTTAACAAAACATCAATAAATATAGATAATAAATCATAATAAAATAATTTTCTTTCTTGGTGAATAATTTGTTATAGTGTCAATACATGGGGCAGGACGGAGCATCTAGTCGTTTGGATGGGACAATGAATATATATCCCTTAGTTTACAGTAAGAATCCTTACTGTGATGAAGAATAGGCTGAAACAGCACTGTCCAGGGCCTCCAGACACACTGCATGATGTATGTACATTATTCTTGCTAGTCCAGAAAAGTAAAACATTAAAACACATTTCAAATCCTGTTTCAATTTATACATTTTTTAGCATTTCCATTGGAATTCTATGACATAATTAATGTCTTCTCATAAAATAATGATAACAATTTATATCAATAATACATATTTATTGGCACATAAATGACAATTCTCCTAGGGGTTTGGTTGGGGATAAGGGGCAACTGTCCTGCTCTCATGAATCATATGTGGTTGATTGTTAAATCCCTAAATCTACAATTAGATTGATATCGTTAAATTAATATTACTAAACTGAACTATATAAGCATGTATTTCTACTAGAATTGTGCATAGTTTTCTATTAAATACATTAATGTACACAAATTATCACAGTATTATGTATTATTCCACACACACAAAATAATCCTCCAAAAATATTAAAGTCAAGAATAGGATAATTTTAACACATTATTGAGAGGTAAAAAAAAAAATGGAAATTCTATGAGTAGGATTTAACTTAAGAAATTCCTCCACACAAGGCGATATTGCACACAATTGTTTTAATTTGGGACATTATTTTTGAAGCATTTCTGATCATTATACTATGATATCTTTTTGAATGAATGCATGCATCTGGGCTCAACTTGAGAGTTTCTTAAATTTTAACCTACATACCCCTGTGCCTAAAATAAAATAGCTTGAAAATATATTTTGGAAAATAAAATAATGACAATATCTTGAACAGCATATCTGAAAGCAATTGAAATTAGAGTAAACCTTTATGGACCTGGGTCCAGATTCCTAAATGTTTAAATTATTGATCAAAGAAATTTGGGTAACTTTAGAGTATTAGTTACAGAATTTATCTACAGTTCCGGTAATTTCACTATTGAATTGCAAATTGTATACTAGTTTTTAATTGGAGAGTTTCTCAAGTTTCTCAAATTCTTTCAATAATTTCTCTGGTGAATCAGCCTTTTCTAATCTTCTTTTAAGTTGGTAATTTAAGTCATCTTTATCTTTTATTTGTTTTTCAAGTTGAGTAATATAATCACATTTCTCTCTTAACTGTTTTTGTAAGGATGCTATCATCTGAAAAGATAAATATGATGAATACATACGCCCCCAGCAGCTAAAATAGTTTAACTTTGAGAGGTCATATAAAAAGTAACTTGAAGAATAATTAGTGCCACTGCCAAGCACTATATCTGTTAAGAAACTCAAGCTATTATGCACTTAAACACTAACTGACATACATATAAGAAAAGTCTAGGTTGTATTAATGCCGATGGCATGTTTGGTGTTATAAGTTTAGTATCTACCTGATCTTTTGTAAGAAATAGTTGACTATCTAACAGACTATTAGCTGTTGGTCTATCTTGTGGTATTGTATTTGTCATCTTCATGATGGCATCCCACTGAAAAAATAAATTTAGATTACTAACATTATATTTTGGTTTAAATGAAAATGTACCTAATATTGTATGTGTGATACAAATGTCACACTGATAAAATATGTTCAATTGACAAGATCATGCCTGCTTTCTACAAAAAGGGAGGGAACATAAACTTACCACATCTGGCCAATAACTATGAAGTATTTGTGGATAACACCTGTCTCTAAGACCAGTTATAGAACGGTGTCTCTCCATTTCTGTATTAAAAACATTAAATACTTCGAACAGAATAACACCAATACTGTATATATCACTCTAAAATAAAACATTAATATACATAATATTTAATTACAGACAAAATACTACACAAAATTTTGATAGGAACATCAGGAAAATTATTCAAAATTTTGTATAAATATTTAGTCATAAAATGTTGTTTAAAAGCTGTCCCTATTTTTCCACCATTCACAATCAGGGAAATAGGTTCTAAGTTTATCTGAAATCCATCATTAGTTTAAGCAGAACTCTATTGCATTCAGTCCTTAGTGGAAGTATTATTCGGGTAGTAATTGCAATAAAAGTATGGCAATTTTGTTATATATTGAAAGCAGAGACACTCAATCTTACTAGAACAACTCTAAGTGAACAGCGACTAATGACAAATACAAGCTAAAAATGGATTCTCTCAGTGAAGAAATTAAAATGTTTTGTGACGACTTGTAGCAACTTTTGATAGATAAATTATATTGAATATGTTTTTTAGAACAAATATATCATCAAATCACACAGTTTGTATTGGGAAATAATCTTTAAATAATGAAATACATGTGAATACAATAAAATATATAGAGTAAAATCTGGATGATTATATAATAAATCTGTCAGATTTAAAATATTGAAAACATAATTCATAAACAGATCATCTCAGCTACAAGGAAGACAATTAAACAACTCCATTAAAAATAGTACTGTCTACCTAAGGATGTAATTGGCAAATGGGATCTCAGTATTAAGTATATATAGGTCACATTCCGACTTCCAAGTTTATATATTTAGTAAATACGAAAGAAAAGATTACCTTACTGTCATAAGAGCTGCCAGTCAACTGTTCAGGTGCAGCATAAGTTGATGTTCCTACGCCAGACGTTAAATTTTCTAGTTTGAAATGGTCTGAAAAACATAGTAAAACAATATTACTATAATTTCAAAGGGAAGAGTAAATCTTTAAAAATGAATTAGATATAAAGAGTTTAACAAGTTGAGCCAAAATCATTCAAATTATATATGCAACAATCCACGAGCAAAAGGCTGTATACATGGTTTCATAATCAAGGTCAAACCTAGAATGTCGTACAGTTACTCAATTCAAATCATTGTATGTTAATATTATTCAATAAGTGTTATAATCAAACTCTGATATGTCTAAATGAAAGATAGGTTGCCAGGCAATAAAACATACGCCCACAGCAGCTATATCGTCCGGGCAGTCAACAAGAGTTGTCGCATATTTTTACTTTTTTCGGTAATGAAACATTTATAATATATTAAATTCTGATTAAGAGTAACAAATCATTCAGTAATTATCAGAAAACCATTAGAATTTGTTTGGTTTTTATAAAGTTCTGCCCTATGCTAAAGTTTAGTATACAAAACTTTTTTACATCATGGATTTAGCTGTTCAAGTCATAAAGATTCATTGAAAATCAATATACTTGTTCGTCTCAAGTGATCAAGGGCCATAACTCTGGCAGTAATTATCGGAAATCGCTGAAAATCAATAGGCTTCTTCGTCTCATGACCTTAAACACTGTGTATAAATTTAAAGTCAATCGGATATTAACTTCAGCCTCTAGAGCGTCCACAAGATTGTTCAAAGTGATCAAGGGCCATAACTCTGGCAAAAATTATCGTAAATCGCTGAAAATCACTAGGCTTCTTCGTCTCATGACCTTAAATACTGTGTATCAATTTAAAGTCAATCGGATATTAACATTAGCCTCTAGAGTGTCCACAAGATTTTTCAATGTGATCAAGGGCCATAACTCTGGCAGTAATTATCAGAAATTGCTGAAAATCACTAGGCCTCTTCGCCTCATGACCTTAAACACTGTGTATAAATTTCAAGTCAATCAGATATTAACTTTAGCCTCTAGAGCATCCACAAGATTGTTCAAAGTGATCAAGGGCCATAACTCTGGCAAAAATTATCGGAAATCGCTGAAAATCAATAGGATTCTTCGTCCCATGACCTCAAATACTGTGTATCAATTTAAAGTCAATCGGATATTAACTTTAGCCTCTAGAGCATCCACAAGATTGTTCAAAGTGATCAAGGGACATAACTCTGGCAAAAATTATCGGAAATCGCTGAAAATCAATAGGATTCTTCGTCTCATGACCTCAAATACTGTGTATCAATTTAAAGTCAATCGGATATTAACATTAGCCTCTAGAGCGTCCAAAAGATTTTTCAAAGTGATCAAGGGCCATAACTCTGGCAGTAATTATCAGAAATTGCTGAAAATCACTAGGCCTCTTCGCCTCATGACCTTAAACACTGTGTATAAATTTCAAGTCAATCAGATATTAACAATAGCCTCTAGAGCTTCCACAAGCATTTGTGGACGCTGGCCGGACAGGGGGCGACAACAATATATGACCACATTTCAATGTGGCCGTATAAAAACGTCCTACCTTTAACATCTGGTGATGGGGCTATAATTGTATCTTTACTTACTCCCCCTAATACATCTTCTGTAGCTAAACCAAAATCACCTATTTTGACATGTAACCCAGGCTCTAATAAAAATATATTACGTGGCTGAAAACCACAAGAAGAGGGCCATCAAAACCAACAGGCTTTTAGTGAACATATATATAACTAATATAAATAAATTTCAATACTATTATCTCCCAGGGTAACATAACATTTTTCAAGGTTACCACAGACAATAACACTAGTAATTATCAGAATTTATTGAACACATGAACATAAGAAATCAGATGATAACTTTAACACATTAACAATAAATCTTGATCAACAGACAAAATGCGGTGACAATAAAATATGTTTACATGAAATGTGGTTATACTTAGGAAGATAAATGAGTAACATACTTTCAGATCTCTATGGATAAGTCCTTTTGAATGGATATAGTCAACACCAGTTAAAATCTGATGAATTATTTTTAAATTTTCTTCTTTATAATCCACTAGATCTGAAAAGAGAAATGATGTTAATAACTTTATAAATTTGAAACTAAACAATGTTTGGACATGCATGTAAGGACAGAAAAGATATGAGGGTAAAAGTAAACATAATACTTTGGACATATGTGACTAGTTCTGGCTAAATTGGACACATATTATCCCATTCCCCCAATATGACATTATTTTTTATTCATCCCAATCTCTCATGGGTGAAGACTTATCACAAATGTACAAAATGCTCAGTCTGGCTTTCTTTCAAGGAATGAAATTTAGGATGTTCAGCAACTTCAAAACAAAACTGAAGATAAATTTCAATAAATTTGAATAAAGAAATGAAATTCTGGCTTTGTTGTGTTATTATTTTTGACCCATGTTTCTCATCTAGACAGAGCTAGTTACATATTTCTGACAAGTGGTGAATTTCATGTTCTGTAGTGATGTTTGAAACTTGAGAGATAATATCTTCCTAGCAGTGGAGTCTATGAGACATTCCAAATGCTATAAAATATATATTTTCTACGACTAAATTTATCTGAATAACTAGATTTAATTTATACAAAAGGTATTACACCTGACATGTGGAAACATGATCTGAAAACACACAAGGGATCTTTTTGATCCATGCTCAAAATAAATCCTAAAGCATTGTAGAACAACATGCATGACCATATATCAATATATTCTAAATCTCAGATCTACAAGAATGACCATATTTACCGATAAGGATTTTCATGCAATTAATAAAGTGTTCACTGACAATTGTTCAGTGTATCATCTGCAGTAGCCATTGACTTATTACCATGCTAAGTCCATGCACCTTGAATGGATTATTATCATTTTTATTACAGAATTATATAGGGACACATTTTGAGAAAAGTTTCTGCGATGGTGATTTAGTTGGAAAATACCTTGTTGCCTGAAAATTCTCTTTTAGGAATGAGATGATTCAATTCCAGAAGGTTCAATCATGTATCCGCTATAAAAGACACTAGATGTCATTGGTCAGCCAAACTTATAAAAAAACAATATTTTATACCTTTCATGTCTTTTAATTGACTATTTCTGTTAAATAATCTCATCTGTAATGTTTGTTGACATAACTCCATCTGTATATATAGCTGTACAATTGGCTGAAATAAAGTTTTTAAATTTGAACTAAATGAAATGAGGTTTGACGGCCTACTTTTTCTGCACTGACTGGACTAATGAACATGGGCATAAGCTATACAGTGTGCTATAAGGGAAATTTTGCCTGGACAGTGGCACTGTCAAGGGTCCTTTTAAGTGCATGCCATACACAGGAACTCTGTTTTCCTTCCTATCCCACGACATGACATTATTCCTTGTCAGACCCTCCATCCTGCACCACTGATATGGGGGAAACTTTCTTTGTTAGCACATGGAGCAAACCTGAGACTTCCTGGTTAACGACCCATCTTCTTACTCACTGAGCCCCTACGTCTCCCATTTAACTAAATATATTGTAATCTCATACCAAATGTGAAAGAAAGATATCTTTTAGAAGATATATACACGTAAAATGGGAATATAATAAAAATTTCATTAATGTTTAACAGGCTAACACTAATATTATGTCTGTCAAGTCTTGTCCACAGCAACCACATTACTTTCAAAGCAAAACATTGTTAAGCATTGAATCGAATGGTAGCCATTTTAGCTGTGATTATGTGACATTTGTGGATATTGGCAAAATTTCATCCCAACTGACATTTTTTAAGTTTATATATCTGGTAAGATTTATTTATTTCCTCACCTGATGTGGAAAATTATCGACAAAATGATTTCTTTATTTCCTCACCTGATGTGGAAAATTATCGACAAAATGATTTCGAATGCCTGCAGTATCACTCAGTGGTTCAGCACTAACACTACGTCTATATGGCACTACACGATCTTTAGGACTAACTTTAGGCGAATCAATATCATCTTTAGATTTTTGTGGAATAGTTATGAATGATGATGTACTATCATACAATTTTGATGAAAAATGGCCGGTTATGTGCACATGTACATGATTGTCTTTATTTCGTGGACTGTCACTATTACTGGAACTGATGTCAATAGAATCAGAAGAATCTGTATCAGAATTTTCTTTGTATTTTGTATTTAACACATTATTAGGTGCAAGTCTGCCACTCGGAGATTCCTTGGATATATTTGAATTTTTTGGAGAATTATGGTTTTCATCACTTGAGCAGTCATCTAAGAAGATAATGTCACTGGAATGTGACATTTCCTGACTCTTGTCTAAATGCTTATTTCTTAATGTCCGAAAAAACAATTTATTATCTGGTTCTTGTTCTAAGTTATCTGTTGTAGAAATATTGGTATCTTCATCAAGGAAATTGTCAGTATTAGATTGAGAGATGCCATGGGAATCCTCGTCAATATTGTGTTGCACGTTATGCTCAAGAATGGTTGTTTTATCACTAGCTTCTGTAATTTCTGTTATTGTACATTTTGACGTGTTGTAATGTTTATGTAGTTGCTTTCCTGTTACAGGATCTAATTCGTCTCCACTACCAGAATCTAATTGAAAATCTATATCAAAACTTCTACTATTAGCTTCATTTATATGACTGAAACTAAAAACAAAAGTGTTATTAGATTCTAAATCACTGGTGAAAAATACTTTAGGTTTTTGTATTTTCCATGCTTAGAATAAAAACTGTATTTCAGCTAAATAAAGTTTTATGAATGGAAATGGACAAGATATCACTTAACTTTAGATGGGCTAGGACTAGGTTGTGAAGGCAACCCCACTGATTGACATTCACAAATAAAACTGCAGATTCCATAGTCTTATACAAAACCTGTTACCTTTTCTCTTTAGAAGCACTGAACTCAGCCTGACTTGAAGAACTTCTACCTACAAAAAGAAGGACATTTATACTGTATGGTACTGACCATTTTTTGCTAAGAGAATAAATACAAAGAGAGATAATTGCTCTCATCTAGGACAGTATAAAATCCCAGTTTTGCAGGTACAATCATTAGAATTATTTATCATAGTTAACAAGTAAGACCAGTTTTGCCATGTTAGTGAAGATCAACAAGTACTTACTAGTTTGAATAGATGAAGGGCTATTTGTATATTCCAGCCAAGCTGCATTATAACCAACAATATTAGTATGATGAAAACCTGCTAATGTTTTCACTTCCTTCAATATCTACATTAAAGACAGCAAAAACAGGAAATAGATGCTCTTTATATACCACATATACCAATGAAAGAACACGGCTATTGCAACATCAGTGCTTGATATTTACCTTTCTGATTCTGACAGAATATTAGTTACAATAAACAGAACATTAATTATCTAAATGTCAATACACAGAAAGGGCTATTTAATTAAGACGGTTCACCAATTGCAATATATTTCATCAGACAATTTAAGCATAAAGTTCACAAATATATCATGAAACAAAAATTGTGCTTGAGCCACCACTATGTGGACAGGTCAAAGAGATTGACCATGCTATCAATTCTATATCTTTATTTTTATAAGCAAATCATTCAGTTGTTAATTCAGGATTTAACGTCTGGATATTCTAGATCACTAGGCCACTGCCCCCAACCCCCAAACACACGATCCTTCTGTGAATCTGATATAATATTGATATATATAAACTTCCTAGATCTACTAGAAAATTTAAACTTAATCTATTAAATCCTACCTTTAACAACTGTTCATGTCTTTTATGTTTAAATTTTATCTTCTTTATGGCATAAAATCTTCCATCAAGACGATTCTTCACCTACAAAAAAATTATTTCATCTGCTATAAGACTAAGTTCACAATGGTCTCCAACAAAAAATCACTGCAAGTCAAAAAGAAAATTGAAAGGAAAAACATTGAAATACCTTATACACAGATCCAAATCCACCTTTTCCTAATTTCTCTATCTCAATAAAATCATCAGAATATCTGGAGTTTTGCATATTAATAAGATCTTCAGATCTTACTCGGGTCAACTGATTATTCCTGAAAAATAAAAGGATGGGCAAGGTTAACAACAATAAGTCCACAATTTCTGGAGAGAGTATAAAAGTAAATTCAAACTTATTCTTAAGTAAAACAGTAACACTGGTAATTAGAAGTGTAATATAGAACCACAATTTTTGACAGGTTGCTTTATATAACTATATTTTATTAGAATCTACAGAAATACCTACAATTTTATATTTCCAACCTCAAATGTGGGAGGTAATGCCAGAATATCACCATTCTGAAAATACAGTTTGATAAAATACAGTGTGATGAAAGTATGATAAAACTTAGTATGATAAAATACAGTTATATACAGTATGATAATATACAGTATAAAATACAGTATGATAAAATTATCATAAAACAAAGTATAATAAAATACAGTAAGATAAAATAATACCATAAATGAATTAAAAACATAATCTATTCTATTCACATATATAAGTTATAAATAAATAATGCATTTCTTCTAACTAAACTTACACAAGATAGCTTTATATATAAGTAAAGCATTATTGTGGATAATGTACATCCAGCTTAACTGCAAGGATAACATCATAATTTTATTACGTTATTGTACCAAACATTAACTTGCATAAATAACAAGCATGTTTATTGAAATGAAATTGAAATGGGGTTTAACGTCCTACTGTTCTGCTCTGACTGGGCTATGGAATAAATGAACGAAACTGATAATAAGCAAAGTTACTGTAGAGAAGCCATCAACCAATCATGTTTTGAAATAAACACAAAATTTAGTTTGAATACGATACTGACAAACAGATGGACTGTAATTTTAAGGGATCTGTAATGTCTAGATAATGGTATCCATGGAATCCTATTGTTTTATGCCATACACATGACTAGACGCCTTAACTTGCCAGGCCATTATTCATCTTTCACTACTGATAAATGAAAACATGGCTTGAAAAACCTGGGCAACTTTGTTGGCCAACGCTGAATCAAACCATTGATATCCTGGTTGAGTGCTAGCACCATAGTCACCGAACCACCAGGGTTCTATCTTTCGGTAATCACTATAAGTATAGAATACTTACATTATATAGATCTTCTAGAGCAGCATGCATCATATTATGTATATATTGTCTACAATTAGCTCTAATACCACTTATCTCATCAACACAACTAACAGGTGATACAATATTTAACTTAGTTAACTGGTCACATAATACTAGAAATAAACATATAATGTCACTCTTAATTCATGTAGATCAAACATAGTAATTGTTAGCTATGTAGAATTTTCGAAGAATGAAGAAGTGATATGAGGTGTTCTAGAAGAGTACCAGTAAGCAGACTGTTTCCTGTTAGACAGCTATCCCTACTTTTATAGCTAACTGAAAATTTCCTCAGGGAAAGTCACCTTTCTGAATTTCTCCAAGAATGCACTATCAGGTCTTTTAGACAATCTAATTGTTCTAGATGTTATTTTTGATCTTTTTTTTCAGTTTGCCATTCCGTTAACATCAAATGACATATTTAAGATAAGCGTGTTTATTCTGGGCCTGTGAAAACAGCAGTTAATAATACAGTAGATCTTGATGAGAGAGCCAATCATATATCTGGATAATCAATGCCTTGTAAAAGATTTTGCCTCCAATTTTGTGCAACATGGAGGTCAATCTAGAATCCATCAAACCCAATCTGCATAATACTGAACACACCTTATAGAAATGTCTTCAGACCAAGTTTAAGTGGGAAAATATATAATGTTGGTTTAATCTTGGTTTAAGACTGGTGTAAAGACACATCATACACAGTTATCTCAGGTAAAAGGAGCTGCACATACATATAGGATCAGTCTCTTCCCTATTTCTTTCCTGAATAAAATCATCAAAATTGGTCTGCGGTGATCATTAAACTGCAAAAATCATATTTTCCAGGGGTAACCTACCTTTAAACAATTTATGTCCAGTACGAACATTTCTAGTATACATAAAACAAAGATGCTCTAATATTGATATCATCAGTAGATGATTAGGTACTGATCTCGGCACTACAGCACCAATTTCAGGAGTTACCATTTTTGTTTTGATGCCAACCTCAGATTTTCTTAACTTTCTTAAATCAGAATCTGCAAAAATATATCAATTACTTTAAGTGAATATTCGAAGTTAAAACAAAATGAGATTTTTTCAATTGACGACTATTCTTTTTATCATATATAACGACATTTGTGGTCAAGAGGTACTGTAAAACAATTGCTTTTGATTTGACATGCTTCGGTTAAATTAGGTGAGTTCTAAGGTCATTTTGAATAATGATGTTATTCAAATTTTATTACCAGTACATTTATCTTTGTGGGGAGAGTGATAAAGTCTCTTTAAAAGAAAGCTCTGAGCAGTCTATTAAATAAAATCTTACAAATTATATTTTATATTAATAAACCAAACAAATATTACCATCAAATTTTCTGATTGGCTTAAGACCACCTTTTAGCTTGAACTTTGCCTGTGTTCCTAATTCACGACCTATCTTCTGTCTTTTTTCCATTTTCTGTTAAAATAAAATATTCATGCAAATAAATTTGGCTTACATATGTATCAAGACAATTAATACTGAATGTAACTGAACAATTTTTTGACTGATATTCCTGAGTACCCATTGATGAAAGTGCTTTTAAGTATACAAATGATATGCCAAATGTGAAGAAATGGCCAAAATGGCTTGTGTAAAGCGGGGCTTATGTCGACTTTGCAACCCAAAGCAACTACTTGCAGTCAGTTTCAAGAGTGCTTATGTCAATCATATCAGTAACTGAGGGCAACTGGGAGCAACTGAATTCGGAGCGCTTATGTCGACTCGGAACTGATAGCGATCACACTGAACATGTGACTGTTGATTTATTTATCACGTGGTCAACAAAATAGCGAATTACTTAGAAGAAGCAACCCAAAGGCATGGTCGGTCTTGCTACAATTCTATTAGTATATTATTGTCGACATCATCAGAACTTGAAAAGTGGGTGTCTTCATTCGCATCCATTTGCTTATTTATAAAGTCACATGACACGTGTCTCTTATCACGTGATGTTATTTCCATGGAAACGAGTTGACTCCAGTTGCAAGAACGCTCATGTCGACTGTAATTAGTTGCCGCCAGTTGCAGAAACGCCAGTTGCTCCCAGTTGCCGAAACACCAGTTGCTTTCAGTTGCAAGGTCGACATAAGCCCCCCCCCTTAAAAATTTCAGCTCAAAATATTGAGTTATTCAAATATGATCCCTGGATTTGCTAGTTTTAACTTTACTGAGTCTCAAAATATATCAATGAAGGGAGAAAAACTTCTGATTAGAATTTAAATCTTGTTTTGCTTAGAAGACATTTTCATCAACTTTTTCAAATCAAATCATTGAAATATACCATAAGTTTGTGCTGGTCATTTTACAACAGTTGAATATTTTGTGATAAAACTTCCTGGTAAATAGACTATTTCTTTACATTTTTGCATGATTGGCATATGTGAATCTACTTGTATACTGGCACTTTTAAAGTGGTAGATATATAGGTACTTTGGAGATCTTTATCAGATGTTAAACAGAATATTTCGATTACGGTAGATAGTATTTGCCATAATACTGAATAAATAAAACACATCAATATAGCCTACAGATGATCAATTAGACCGAAGATACAAATTTTGTGTAGAATACGATACCAAGTGGTAATCAGTCCGCCGTTTTCGAGATATTCAGGGTCAAAGGTCAAATGCACTGAAAATGAATGTGAAGCCATTCTTTTATCATGAAAACACGCTGAAAATGATCAAAAGTAATCAACCTTTCAATAAAAATGCTAACTTGTTAAATTCACCATTGTTCTTTGTGACCCCAGAGGCCAAAAGATCAAATTTTCCGTTTTGTGCCAATTTGATGGACACCTCTCCACACTGAGCCTCCAGACTAAATAGGAGTGCAAATGCCACTCATGCAAAATACCTTACTCTAAGTATGGCAAGCATTGGATATTTTATAATTAGGTGAGTCTTTATATCAAAATTACCCTTAAATGTGCTAATTACTCGGATTATGAACCACATGGTATGACTGTTATTGTAGTTGATAAGTAAGTTGATTGACTTCTTAATCAACAAGTAATAATTAAGACGATAAATATTGACCAAAAACGATGTGGCAAGCACTGGCTAAATGTATAATCAAATATGAGCTTAGGCTACTAGTACAATTAAACAGATACTGGGCACTTATTAAAATACATCTAAATACAAATTATTTGTTATAACAATATGTCTTTCATTAAAAAATTAATCACATTCTGTTTAACACCAGACAGGCTAGTTCAGCTCCAGACAGGCAAACAAATGATGTACAATGTGACTGACATCTGATTTTCTGCTGATATAATCATTATTTATAAGTGTTGGGTTTTTCCAACTTGTGATGTAAAAACGCAATTTACACTATCTTATGTAATATTGCATCATCATTATTATTAGACTGACATGCTTATTTTTATATCAACATTTACGAAATAAGCAGCTGAAGCCTTGTGCCCCTATACATATATAATTTTCTGGGTGGAAAAATGACCCAGTGTGCCTATAATTAGATTTCTGCAACTGTGTACTTGTTATTTTGTCAGGTACAATTCAGATTATTATTTATTTCTTTTGTATCTAGTTATAGCAATAAGCTACAAGGTCACCATTTGGTCATAAGGTTAAATGTTGGTCAAAACGGACATCTTTACCTATCCAAAAGGCAACATTTTATTCAAAATGGCCAGAAAATATAACTGCTTTCAATAAAATATCTATGTATAATGATTATGTTATCTTAATTTAGTTGATAATTATTACCTACAAAAATCCTTGCTAATGTTCAAAATTAAAGGGGTATTAGGTAAGATTAGATAAAGAGCTGACAGTTCTCGTTACAATAGTTAAAAAATAGATAATGAAAACAAAATATGCTGAAAATTTCAGTCAAATTGCTTCACTCTGAACCGAGATATTAGCGATTCAATTTTAGGCTAGCCTCGATCATCATTACTATCGTTGGTATGATAATAAACAAAGTCTCGATTATCCATTTTTACGATAAATCATCCATCACAAAACATATTCAAATTCACTAAAAATCGCAGGCTAACAATGGCATCAAGAGTTGATTATGGTCTTGATAAGTTAATTAATGTCTAATTAATAATTTAGATAACATTTAAGGCCTAAAGAAAAAACCTCCAACAGGCAGGTTTAGCTCTTGCCGAATTCTTGTTTAATAAATGAAATTATTCAAATGAAGAAGGGTTAGAAATGCTACCAAAAACACAAGTATATGAATGGTAATTTTGAACAGTTGTGTGAATACATTGTATACTTTTAATAGGAAGTTTTGAAGGGTATAAATAATTTTAATTCTTCCTATAAGTTACAAACTGTGTATTTTGTGCATACATATTGATTTGAACTTAGCAGTTCAAGTTAAAGAAAAGTCAAGACCATGGAAACAATTAATCTGTTACATGTAGGCTACTTTGTTATATATGGATTATCACAATCTTTAGCAGCTAATTCTCTATTCTTTATAACTTTAAAGATAGGTTGCCAGGGAATAACACATACGCCCACAGCTGTAAATCGTCTGGGCAGTCGACAAGGGTTGTCACATATTAATTCTTTTGTAGGTAATTAGGGGAATTTGATAGACAATTTCATACAGATGACATTATAATTTTCGTTGAAGGTTCACAAGGTTCTAAAAACTAAAACAAGGGCTGTAACTCTGGAAGCAATCTACAGAAATTGTTCAAATTCAACAGACTTTTTTCGTTTTACTAATTCAAATAATGCATATAAATTTCATACAGATCGGATGATAACTTTTGTTGTTCGAAAGTTCACAAAGTTCAACAAAGTAAATCAAGGGCCATAACTCTAGACGTAATTGACGGAAATTGCTGACATTCAATAGGCTTGTTCGTCTTCATTTCACTAATTTAGGTGATAACTGAAACTCAATAGGCTTGTTCGTTTTACTAATTTAAATGATACATATAAATTTCATACAGATCGGATAATAACTTTTGTCGTTAGAGCATTTACAAGGTACAACAAGCCAACAGTGAGGCTGATGTCCCCCGCCGAAATTCCCAAATAAATAGATGACACATATTGATTAATCGCACATCTATTTTTTTCAAAAGTATCGAGCAATCAAACTGATTATCAACTATACACTAAGTTTCATCACTCTCTATCAGGTAGAATCAAAGTTATCTTGTCCCAAAGCATCGACCAAGGAAATTGCTTATCTCTGCTTAGCTTTAGTTCGATATGTTAATCATTGAACTCAGTCAAGACGAACATCTACATTGTACCTCAATTAGAAGCAGAGTTGTTATGTTCCAAAGTCTTGACCAATCAAAATGCTTATTGTTCCTTAGCCTAAGCAGACAGTTCTCATCATCGAACTTAGTCAAGGTATTGATGTAATGAAACTATACACCAAGTTTCATCACTCTCACTTAATTAGAACTAAAGTTATCGTGTCCCAAAGCATCAACCAATCAAATTGCTTATCTCTGCTTACCCTAAGCAGAAAATGTTCATCTTCAAACTCCATCAAGGCATTGACCTAATAAACACTTACACCAAGTTCGAACATTTTAGCTCAATTAGAAGGAGAGTTATTGTGTTCCAAAGTCTCGGCCAATCAAATTGCTTATCGCTCTGCTTACCATGAGCAGAAAATGCTTATTATCGAACTTAGTCAAGGTATTGATGTAATGAAACTATACACCCAGTTTCATCACTCTCACTTAATTAGAAATGAAATGAAATGAAATGGAGTTTAACGTCCTACTGTTCTGCTCCTAACCTGGGCTAATGAAGACGGGCATACGCCATACAGTGTGCTATGAGGGAAATTTTGCCCAGACAGCGGCACTACGGCCTACTCTCATAACAAATTCCAACTGCCAAGGGATCTTTTACGTGCACGCCAATGTGTACACGGGACCTCAGTTTTTCGTCCCATCCAAACGACTAGACAGCTTTCCTTGTCAGCCCCTCCAGCCTGCATCACTGACAAGGGAGAACCACGCCGGAAAATCACTTAATTAGAACTAAAGTTATCGTGTCCCAAAGCATCAACCAATCAAATTGCTTATCTCTGCTTACCCTAAGCAGAAAATGCTCATCTTCACACTTCATCAAGGCATTAACCTAATAAACGCCTACACCAAGTTTGAACATTTTAGCTCAATTAGAAGGAGAGTTGTTGTGTTCCAAAGTCTCAGCCAATCAAATTGCTTATCGCTCTGCTTACCCTGAGCAGAAAATGCTCATTATCAAACTTAGTCAAGGTATTGATGTAATGAAACTATACACCAAGTTTCATCACTCTCACTTAATTAGGGTTTCACACTGCGAAGCTTGTGTGAAACACTATTGTTTTTGTTAAAATTATTATTAGGGTTTCACACTGCGTAGCTTGTGTGAAACACTATTGTTTTTGTTAAAATTATTATTCTTATT